GAAATTAGTGAAGTTTATTATTTGCTATTGTTTAAAAAATGCGTCACCTCTTAAAATGCTTCGATTATTAAAAAAAAAGTATTTAAATGTGGGAGACAAAAAAAGGAGAACAACAAAGACATAAATGAGGAATTGAGGATAGCATAGGGAAAGATATTAAGTGGAGAAGATTAAAAAAAAAAGGTTGAGGTTTTGTGTCGAGAGTCAATTTAAATCTCTTAGTCAGTGCCGAAAATCCAACTGCTTATTGAGTTATTTAACATGGCAATAGGTTTAGGGGCGTCTAGTCAAGATTAGATTGATAATGATTAAAATAATATATTTTAATTAAAATATATAAATATTTATATTTAACCATATTCAGTGTACCTAATTAACTTATCCCTTCTCCCCTCCTAGGTATGGATCACATGCAGTGAATTTTGTGTAGTAGATGAAAAGTGAAAAAATTCTGACTTCTCATTCTATCTAACGATAGGGAAGAGAGTGGTGTGGAAAAAATCTTATTTTCTGCAAAGCACACAAACTTTTTTTAATACTTATTAAACCTATATTTTCATAGTTTTTAAGCATTTAAATTGTGAAGTAAGTTTTTTATTATTAAAATAAAAAATAAAAATAATTTTTATTAAATAGAATCTATGCTATGCATCCACAGTGAAGTTACTTTTTTAGGATTTAAATTGTGAAGTAATTTTTTATTATAGAAAAAATGTTTGTATACTTTACAAACAATAAGGCTTTTTGTACACTCCTTTCTTCCTGACTATTAGATTGGAAGAATGGTTAGAATCCTCCTACTTTCCACCCACCGCACAAAATTCATTGCATTTGATCGGGATCCCTCCCTTCAACTAATTAGGAGCTTAGGACTATCTAAAACTGAAAGAAGTCAACCATGTAAGTGTAATTTGTATTTTTTTAAAATAAAAAATATCATTTTTGGGTTTAGAGGGATAGAAAAATAAACTCTCTTCATTAAAAATATAAAATATTTTTAATTGAATATCATTTTTAAAAAATTATTTAATTGTTTTCAAGCTAGCCATTTTTTTATATTTACTTTTATTTAATAAGGTGTTTCACTTAAAAAACTATAAAATAATTTATTTATTAAAAGAATTCTTAAAAAACACATTAATTATACTTTAAAATACTAAAAATGTCTTATATTTTTTAACGTTTAATCTCTTAAGAAATGTTTTATAGTTTTTTACCGGTAGAGTATATACTCATTTTATCCCAAATTATAAGATATTTTTAAATAAAATCACCCATATCAATAAAATTTATTACATATATTTTACAACTTTATTTTTCAAAACAAAATATAAACTTCTAAAAATGCCTTTATTTAATACTTCATTTATAAAAAAATATTAAAGAGAGAGAATATAATAGAAATGATAATACTGAAAAAATATTATTATATGAACTTGGTGCAAATATAAATTTATTTTACATTAACAATGGTAGAGAAAGAAAATATAAAAAATTAAATAGGTATTCTATTAAAAAAATAAAGCCATTAAAAATAATGATATATAAGATTTTATTTTATTGGATTGATGTAATTTTATTAGATGGATTATAAATGGCGTGATACACTGGATCTATTCAAGAATTTTTTTATTTATATTTTAAAATATCAAATCTTTCAAAGATTGTCTTATAATTTAAAAAAAAAAAGAATAATATATAATTTAATGGACTTGTTCAACTCTTCGGATTAACTAGATTACATTGGGTTAATTGGGCTAAACTTGGGTTGGGTCAAGACGAGCTGCCTGTTTGGATAGCATATAAAATTTATTTTTTAGGCCAAAATTGATTTTTTTAATAAAAGTTATTCAAACAGTAAAAAATTCTGATAATTAATTATTAAGCTAAAATCATATTTTGAAATAAGTTTTAAGAGATTGCTTATAGATTCAATTTTATTGTTAAGTAATATATTTTACTTCTTAAATCAATAACAAATTTAATAATTTTAAATACAACTTTATCAATAATTTAATTTTAAAACGTAATGTCCTTTATGATATTTGTACAGCTAAAATTAATTTCAGTGTCCAAACATATTGCATTATAATATAATCAATTATAATTAAAATTAATTATATTAATTAATTATTTTCATAATTAATTATACCCTACTAAAATTCAAACAAGTCCAAGATCATTTTGCTAATTAGGTGTGGTATGAAAGGTAGCAGTTTGTTTTTCTTAAATATCATTCTAAAGTTCGATTCTAAGAGTCATATATGAGGAGTATCTCTTAGGAGAAGACAACTCCTTAAATAGAGTTCAAATTTTCTGAGAGGTTAATCCCATAATTGTTGGTTTGAGGATATTTTGGCAAAATAAAAATGACATGGTTTTTAAGCTTAGTAAGTACAAAAAATACATAAATATGCAGCTCAATCAATCCGATTAACTGGGCTAAATTGGATTGACTTAAATGTCATCGTTTTTAAGCTCAGTCAAATTTATCAAGTTAATCCTAGATTAATTGGGCTAAATTGGATTGAGTTAGTCCGGATTCAATTATGTGACCAAATAATTGATTCTTGAAATTACCGATCAGATGACTATTAAGAAAAAGGGATTTGGATTACCTTTTTTTTTTTTAATAAATACTGAACTTCATTCAAAAACTATGAAGAAAACTAATTACAAATAAGAGACAAAACTGTGAATCGCTCTTTTTTTTTTTTTTTAAGCTCTACTCACCCAGTGGCTTGATTTTTGCAATATTTTTTGGATAAATTGGCTCACTAGCCAAAATAAATCTTGTATCCAAAAATATGAACTAAATTTTTAAAAATTTAAGAATATGGCTGGTTTATATTGATATACAAGAAATTTATCATTGAAAATTAAAAAATTTACAAAGGGTTTATTATTGATATGCAATAATATATCATTAACAAATATAATGAACCATCTATAATATAAAATATAATAAATGTTGGGCTGTTTATTTGATTTGATGATATAACATGAGTTATAGCTATAAAAACCCTTACATTTTTTATTTGGAGAATTCAGATGGACGTATTCAGGCTCATGTTGTTTATCAAGATCCAATCTTATCATTTACGCAAAACAGTTATGACATACTTGTATACTGCAAACTGAGTTTTAGATTTTTAGGTCAAAAAGAACTGAGTCTTATAATTGACACATAAAAAGGGCTTGTTTGAATTTCATTTTAGTATAGTTAATTATAAAAAATTAATTGACATAATTAATTTTGATTATAATTGATTGTGTTATAACATAATCATGTTTGAGCATTATTTTTCTAAAATTAATTTTGATAAAATTAAAGATATTTGGATAATTTAATCAAAATTAATTTTAGAGATATAAATTATCATAAAGGGTATTATTTTTTAAGATATAAATATTAACACAATTGTATATAATATTATTAAATTTTTTAAATTATATCTAACAAATAATTATGTAAAATAGTCATCCAGTTAATATTTATATAATATTCAATGTATATGATTAATTTTCAAAATTATATTGGACATCATATTAAAGATAAAAGTAACTTTTATAATTTCAATAATTAATATTATAATATGATATTATGGGTCTTGGCACGAGAAAGGTTTTACAGTAGCAGGAAAAGCGGGATGAGAGCCTGCACGCATTCACTAGGGTAAGAGGGATTACCTGAAGTGTTCAGGAGACACACATGGATACATGTGGCAGGTAAAAATTCTGACACGGAATACTGGAGCCTGGCTCTCCGTTTGGATTGGATGGAAAACGAAGTTAAGAGAAAAAAAAATAAAAAAAATTAAAAAAAATATTATCCCTCATCTTATTTGGATAAACCAAAAATATATATATATGAAAGAAAGAAATTGAGTAAATAGCATAAGAACAATAATATCCTTATAGCAAAATATATCACGTCTCACATGCTTATTTTTATAAAAATAAATTAAAGGAAAAGATTTTATTAAAGTTAAAGTTATCAAAATAATTCAAAATCAATTTATTTATTAAAAATATATTTTCATGTTATTATATTTTAAAACCAAATAATTTACTAAAAATATATTATTTTTATATTTAAAATATTAAAAGAGGATAATTAACTAAAATTAAATATAATCAATCTATACATAACTAAGACGTAGGTGAGATCACGGCAAAGTTAAAGGGAAAAAAAGAAAAAATGAAGAGCTGATGGGTTAGAGGCGAAGAGGTGGTTCTACGTGAAATATGGAAAAAAAAAGTTGGAGAGAGAAGGAAACTAGCAAAACAATAAATTTTATCTCAAAATCTTTTTCTATTGTAATGGAAAAGAAAATTTGAAAAAAAAAATGGTGGGTCCCATTTTACTTTTTTCTTTACTTTTTCTTCCTCTTTTTTTTTTTCCTTATCCAAACAAACAAAAAAATGTTTTCTTTTTTATTTTCCTCTCACATTTTTTCTCTTTTTGTATTTTCTTTCCAAGCAAACAAATAAAGGGTGTAATTGCAAAATCGAAAGCTGCCTTTAGATGCTTAGCTTAGAACGAAGTTTCAGGATAGAAAATTGATTGTTGAAAAATGAGGATGTTTAGATTCTTTTTTTTATTAAAATCATGGTTTAATGATAGATTATAAACAGCTATCCAAACAGGCGCTTAGACTTTTAAGTCCGATAGTGAATGGCGTCAAAGTGTCAAACAATAATAAAACTTGGTTTAATATTTAAATGTTGGTTTAATATTCAGCAAAGATTTCTGATCTCATGCGTCCTTATTCATGATATAAATTCATTAATTTTTTGTTTTACTTTTGTTTCATTTGTTATTGATACATTTAAGGTTTTTTTTTTCCCCATCTAGGCTTAGTTTAGAGACCTATATTGTTGTAAATTTTTTTTAATCTTTTTAATATAAAAATAATTTGTTCGGGTGTGAATCGAAGCAAACCGACACTTGTAAAACCCTCAGTTAATTGCATATACATTGGCGTAGGAATAGGATAGATCTGATCCCTGCCATCGTTCATCCGAACTGTCAAAATTCAGCGCTCTCCACTTCAATCCTACACTTCCAGTTTACTTTTCATATAAGTAGGCAAAAGCTCCGAGTCAAAGCCTAATGCGTCGGTTTGCAGATGCCTGCAGAATCAAACAGGGCAGACGGACGGACGGACGCATAGAAAAGAGCGTGCCGAGAGATAACAGGCTTATTTCTTCCCTCTTCTGTGCGTCTTACTGCGACAAGAGAAAAGCCCAAGCCCAAGCCCAAGCCCAAGCACTAGGCTTTAGTGCTCTGCGCAAGCTGCAACGTCGAAACCATCGTATCACACGTTCATCCAAAACCATCCAATTCTGCCGTTTCTGAATCCCGACCGCTTCTCTAGATTCAGGTCTTGTCTAATTTCTCGTTACGTTTGGACTAAACTAGTGTAATTTAAATAAACAATTTTTCCTATTCTTGTTATTATTTTATCATTTTAAACAGGAATTTAAGTTTTTCTTATATGTTGCTGGAAAGCTGGATTTGAAGTAAGAGTCACTTGGGATTGTTTCGTTGCCAAGCAAGCAGTCGGAAGCCTGCTTCATTGAATGCTGTGGGTCATTATTGATATCTTCGGAAGATTCAGAGATGGGTCAAACAGCGAGTATTGATGCTGCTCCTGCTCCTGCTGCTGTCAAAGATGAAACCACCAAGTCAAATTCCACTTCCCTGGAAACTGCCATTGCTGGTTCTTTCCCTTTCATATCCGTTCTAACTTTGTACCATAATGTGCTATTCTCGATTGCCAAATTCAGGGCATTTGCTTGCTCGTAATGGGCTTCGTGTGTTTCTCAAAATTCCTAGTTGGAGTTGTGGGCTTTCAGCTTTTGCACTTTCTAATTTTCCTGCCTCCTTAGCCATTGTTGATTTATAACGGCTGTTGTTTTTCTCTAATTACAGTTCAAGGGACAATTTCACATATTGTCTATGAAGCACCGTTCCCCCACCCCAATTGCATTTAAGTACTAAATATCTTCCGGCATTGCAGTGCTGGGATTGGTTCAGATCTCTTTTCTGTCGCTGTTAGCCAGCCTGCTGGCGTGCTAAAAAACCAACATTGACATGAATATGAGACGATGTGATAAGGATAGCGCAGCATAATAAGATATATATATATATATATAATATCTTCACAAGAAGTTTGAAATGATGTGCTGTATTGATTTGAATTCAAGTGCAAAAAACACATCTGAGTGTTGTTTCTGAGTTATCAATGTTTTACCACAGCCCAGTAATACCACCTCATCAGTGTTCAGTTCTTAGCTTCCACCCCATGCAACAATGGATGGGCCATTTTGATTACTGTTGCCTTGACAGCTTGACCGGCTGTTGACACGACTGGCTAGCTATTGCTACATTCACTGTCATGGTGTCAACTGGTTATTAAATGCTGCCAAAAAGCTGAGTAGTTGAAGTCCATGTTCAATTTGGAATCAATGATTTCACTCAGACAAATTTTACTATGGGAATGCCTTATTAAATTAGAGTATATTATAGTCAATAGTTTTGAGTGCTACTCAAACACAGTTTCTTGGTCGCTCTTTTAATTTTTTTTCCGAGACAATTTAGCATGCTGTGAATCTGTATCATTTGTTTCATCTCGGCTCTAAATTTGTAGATGGATGGAACTGTGATGCCTGTTTTCATTATTTACAGATGCTATAGCTTATGGAAATGAAGAGACAGAGGTTTGTTCATTTCAAACATATGAATTAACGTGCTTCCAACATGCAATTTGAGTTAATGAAATTGAAATTTGCAAATTTCAGTCTATTGAGGCAAAAGCTAAGAAAGCTTTAGACTGCCCTTGCATAGCTGACTTGCGAAGTGGTCCATGTGGAAACCAGTTTTCAGAGGCTTTCCTTTGTTTTCTCAAGAGCGCTGCTGAAGAAAAGGTAACTGGAAATGGGTGATTAGAAACTTGGGACCTGGTCAATACTTCTCTTATCTAGGCAGTGGATTTAGTCTGAAAAATAGCTGTTCTTATTCAAATATTATTGGTGAAATGAGAGGTAGGGAGCAGTCGGATCTCCTTTGTCTTTCAATTTAATTTTATGTGAGAGTTCCAATTGCTTTTAGTTTGATTACCTTGCAATAGAGCCTAATGAGAGATGGATGATATTTTAGGAGGCATTTGGTATATTGCTATAGTTTCATTTTTATCTGACATCTTGGATTTCAGTTGACATTTGTGATTTCTGTATTTGTTTAAATTGATATTCAAGATGATGGATATTGTCCAAGATGTTATAGGTTCATAAGATCACACCACTTAAGGGGTTATGCTAGTATTTCATTCCACTAAAAAGGTCATAAAAAGTAAATGTGTCATATCATATCTTTAAGGGTTCAAACAGCATTTATGAAGTATCAACTTCATTCTTTTTGTGACAGTTCCTATTGTCATACTAGACATGGATTTTCATGCTACCATAGTATGTCAGGTAGCAATTTACCAAAGGCTTCCTAGTCAAGACTCTCCAGAACTCGTATCTCTTCACCTTGTTTCCCATTTTCTAGGAACCAATAGCATCATCAATGTTTCCACGGTTTTCCAGTTGTACTTGTGTTTCTCATGAGATGCTGTTTTTGGCTATAATTATATCATACTGGTTGACACTAATCATACTGTTTCGGTAGTTTAGAGTTCTACTATTATGGTGGTATGCCTTAAACCACAAGCGCCAACCAATGAAGGAACATTGAAATTCTCTACATTCTTCCTTATAAATTAGTGTTGAATCATGCTGTTTCCTCTCATGTTTTAGGGCTCGGACTGTGTACATCCATTTGTTGCTCTTCAGAATTGCATCAAAGCCAATCCAAATGCCTTCCCCGAAGACATTCTAAAAGAAGATGAAGTTGAAGAGACGGAACCAGCCCAAGAATACAAGATAATCCCTCCCACATGGTCTAAAGAATCTCGAAACCCAAAATCCAAGCTCTAAGAGAACAGTTCAGTTTCCTCCTATCTTTTAGGATTCGAACAACTTCTATTAGAGTTTTAGATTAATCACAAACTAAAGCTTGTTACTTATACGAAAATAGCTCAAGTTATTTTGGAAGGACTGACTACACATTTATATAATTGTGATTAATTCTCTGATCACTCTATGTAAGATTATCATACATTTAATAAGTTCTTCTTGCTGAATTTGCGTGGATTTTACTTGGTTAATAATCAGGATGCGTAAACTGAACTCATATGATCTCTTCTTCATTTGAAATTTAAACAACCTAAATAAAGAATTTTAAATAATACATGAATTTCAAATATAAAACTTGAAATGCATGATTTCAAATCCATAATTCAAATTCAAAATCCAACAATCCAAATGCCATCAAAGTTTTGCGAATGCATGAGGATTTAGATTTTAACCAAATCTTTCAATAGGATATATACAAATATTTGAAAGTTTTATATATTATAAATTTTTTATAATTTTAAATTCTCTCTAGACTCAGGTTATTTGAAATTCCTCCTATCATAACTCATTTGTTTTTTTTTCTTTTTTTATGTTTTCATTATTAGTATCTCTTTTATTTTTGCTACTTCTCATATTTCTAGTTCATGTCTCTTACCAATTGAAGAACAAAGATAAATTTGTCATTTTCAATTTTCTGTTTTAACTTAAAATATTGGTTGGTTTCTCTTTTGCCTTTTAAAATTTTTCACACCTAAATAGAGAATTTCAAATTCAATAATTTTAAATGTAAGACTTTAAATCTAAAATTTAAATTCAAATCTAGCAATCTAAACTCTATCCGAATGAATAATACAAGGGGGGGCCAGCACCCTCATTCGTCCTCACTCCCGGACCTGTTTTGCTGTTCATTTTTATATTAACTTGATCAAAATATTCATGAATATGTATCAAGGATGATCATTTTTATGGTTACTTTATTTGATTATATATCAATTGGCAATAGACATATTACATATAGAACCCTCGACCTCGATTACGCAATCAACAAATTTTTTAAATAAAAAACTAGGTTTTGAGCGAGTTATTGATTTACACATGAGAATTGATAATACTCTCACAATGAAAAATTCTTGTATGAACCTAAAGTACCAGTCCATCCATACTCTATCTAATCAAATTATATAATGTTTCACCGTAAATATATGAGTCAATATGTCATATGTTAGTATGTTAAGATCAATTTGATGAGAAATCAAACAAGATATAGCGATTAAACAATAAAATTTTTACTTTTGTTTAAGTCAAGCAAAACTAATTGAAATGGATTGATTCAATCAAAATTAAAATTGAATTTAATAAAATGCAACAAAGTTTTTAATCCAACAACCATTTAAGTAATAAAAAAGCAATCTAAAGTCATTAATCCCTTGTTAACTTCATAAACACCATTTTAACCTAATTATTTAATTTCAATATTAATTTTCTTAATCGAGAATTTTAATAGTTATAAGTAACTTTTGATTCACTAATATCCTTCTCTCAAACTAATTATATTATGTCTAACAATTATCTAAGAAGCAATTCAAATCAATAACACTTGACAATGGTTATATAGGGCAATTATGTATATGTATATCCTAATTACAAATTAGATAAAAATTTAATCCTATATTACTTAGTCTAATGGTCTAGATGAGATTCTTTTTTGTCAATAAGGAAAAATCTTAATACCCAATATCACATTTAATGTTGACCAAATATCAAATAGATATTCAAGTACAAGATTAAGCAATTAAAATTAAGCTTAACTAATAGATAAAAACAAGTTTAATCCATCAATAGGTTTATAGTTCCTATGGGTTTAAAGAAAATTGACCACACATAGCTATAGGAATGGTAAAAATCAAGAAACAATTTATCAAAACTAAGAAGAGAAGGAAAAGAAAATCTTAATTGGAGTGATTTTAGATGACAATTACTAAGCTTATAAGAAACCCAAGCTATTCCATGTCATCCATGGCTTCTTCCCTATTCCTTGGACATTTCTTAGCTGATGGAGCTAAGAAAAATCAAAGAATGACGAGCAAAAACATTGAAAACCCTAAAAATATTAGTTTTCAATGAAGCTGCATGTGCATTTCACTAAGTATCGATTACGTTGTGGCGGCATAATTTTGTTACGTTGCAGACTAAAACCATTTTGTTACACTATCACTGGATATTATGTTCTAGCATGTTACAGGGACGCTATGGCATAAATTTCAACTGTGCCTTTATTTTCATTGTTTACTTACATACAGCATTTTGATTATTGATTTGGACCACCCTACATAGAACACGACACCATTAATGCAATTTTGACTCAAGTAATGATTTCATTTCAACAAGATGCTATCAATTCTCCCTTCTCATTTTTAAAAGCATTTTTCTTATATTTTTTCTCAAATAATAGTCTCACTTGCTCCCAAAATTATTTAGATGTCTCCAAATTGAACTCAAAATTATGTAATAACATATAACAATATATTAGTCATCACAGTTTAATAATAAAAAAAAATCTTATGTGTCATTATTTTTAATGATTTTATTCTTAGAATAAAATACCTATTTAATTTATTGTCTTTTAATTTTTTCTCTTTATCATCACCCATGACAAAATCAATTTATAATTAATTAAAGCCCCTTCGCATGACATGTTTTTATTGAATAGTATGTAAATAATGTGATGCACCGAACATGCAAAAATTTCTCCTCTCACAATAATGTAGAAAATGAAATTAGTAAACTGTGGTCGTCATTTCTTTCAATTATGCGAACGTAATTATAAATTTATAATGTATTTGGTTAGATGATCTCCGATCATTTCCAAGGGTATGATTTACTATATAGAGGACATGATTTAATGCAATTGCTCTACATACGGTGGAGGCCGACCATTTGAAGGACATTTTGCATTGCGGTATATATGAATGGAATAAATTAAATATAGAGGCATTATTTTAGTGCTGAATATAGGTTTGTAATTCCAAAGCTTGATCTTTGGATATATTATTTAAAGAAAAAACATGGTAAGACAACTTGAATATCTTGCTATAATCAATCTCGGTTGGGTAGGTTGAATGTATGGAGGTATATGTAGGGAATTATTTGGGCAGGATAGGGTAGGTTTGATAGGACTCATATCATTGAAACAAATAGCATTCCGTGTTAAATCTAGTGTATTTTGACAATCGTTTCCTCATCTAATTCAATTCACATAGCCTGAGCAACTTTGCTTTCAAAATCGTTATATAATTAGCTCTTCACGGCCACAACTATACGTTTTGAGAATATTATAAATTAAGAAAATCAGCTTGTTATTCCAAAGCTTGACCATTGCATATGCACAGAAAGCCAACATTGTCTCTTTGATAGCCCTTCATGTTAACAAATGTTGCTCCATCAAATATCTATTTTAAAATTTCTTTTCATATCTACTTCAATTCACGCCCTATTTATGGAGCCACTCTTTGCGTGTTCTGTGAATATCACAAAGCAAATTAAAGATCATCAATGGCTGGCTTCAGTGAGAAGGAAGAGGCTCTGATCAAAAGCTCATGGGAGGATTTGACCAAAAACTTTCCAACTTTTAGCTTTCATTTCTTCACCCTGTAATTGTTTAATTTATTTCCATACACACAACTTCCTTTCCTTATTTGTCTCCAACTCCATTCTCTTTAATAATTCACTAATAATACATTAATTAATTTAATCCTTTTTTTTAATTGTTTATACATAGGCTGGTGGAGCTTGCACCTCCGTTGAAAGACCTGTTTCCTTTTCTAAAAGGCTCAAGTAACGTTCCCAAAAAAAATCCTCAACTAGAGGCCCAAGCCTTGAAGGTTTTTAAGTTGGTGAGTTCATGAAAATACTAAAACATTCAAGTGAAGTAGAGGTCTTCCAGTCAATCTAGAGAGAAATTCAATTCTTTTGGTTGTTCATAAATGGAAAGATACTTTTGTCAATATATGAGAAGCCATACGATAGATGCAACAGTATAAAAGTGAATTTGTGCCGGTTAGAGCGAACGTCCTGTGCTATTATGATTAATATTAACACAAAGTTTTGCTTGTTTGTTTCATATAATGCATATATTTGGGAATTGTAGACTTTTGATTCAGCAATCCAGCTGCGAGAGAAAGGAGAGGTTGTGATAGCTGATCCTACATTAAAGCAGCTGAGTTCCGTGCATGTCCAAAAAGGAGTCATTGATGCCCATTTCGAAGTAAGGCAAACTAATTTGAAGTATAGTTGAGACTTAGCCTTTTGTTTTGAGATCAGAGCTGGATTAATGAAATGAAGGTGATCTGGATATAGGTGGTGAAGGAGGCACTGCTCAAAACAGTAAAGGAAGCAGCAGGAGCAGCAAAGTGGAGCGATGATCTGAATAATGCATGGGCCAAGGCACATGATGCGTGGCAGCTTTAATCAAGAAGGGAATGAAAGAAATATAGTGTTCCATATATACTTACTTCTGATTCAAATCGTGAGCCCTCAACCATATATTCATGCCTCTCTCCAACTCTAAAAAAATTTACAAGCAGATTATAATAATGTACTTTTAAAAAGTCAGTGTGTCCCAACACACACACACGCACGTATGTTTTTAACTATGCATGATCTCTATCTTGTATTTGTGTGAGAAGAAAGTATGTGAGAAAGATATGTGTGCGTAATTTTTACAGTGTGCAATACCTTGGGAAAAAGGATAAATATTGATGTTTTAGTCTAATTACGTTCTCGTGTTAAGCCGCCTTATGTATATATTTATATTCAATTTTATATATATATATATATAATATTTATTTTTTAAGTTTTCCTTGTTGATTTTTCATGACATAAAAACAATTAATTATCATGTCTACTGTAAAATTTTTAACAATTTCATTTTTAATATAAATTATCATTATTAAATTGAAAAAGATTTCATCTTCCCTATAAGTATTGGAAAATTTAAATGTATCGTTGGGATTTAAAACTCTGTTCAATCTAAAAAATTATATTACTTGCTTACCAAATTTATTATTTAATTTTTTCAATTGATAGTTATAGTATATAAATATATCAACACTATAATATGCTCAATTGTCACAAATTCTCTATATTAATGAGATCTAAATATATCATAATAAAAATCATTCATATAATAAATTTCAATAACTTAGTTATTACTGAAAAATAATTTGTTTAAAAAAATATATCTTAATCATAACCTCTAAACTTTTAAATAAATGATTTTATGAGAGACGTCAAGCATATTAGTATTCAATATATCTTTGAATTTTTGTTGTAGCACTTGTCAAAGTTGGTTGGTAACAATTCTTATAATTTCTTTTATCAAATATAAAACGAAAGCAATGTCAAATGACATCAATGTTTTAAGAGTAATTGTAATATCATCTTATTAAAAATAAGTAAATTATATGACAACTATATCTTTAAGCTATTGAAACAAATGGACTATACATGTGTAAAAAACTACTATAGAATTAAAATGATTATTTTATCTAGTGTCTCAATCATTTTATAATGTGTCAATTTAGGAGAATTAAAAATATATAACCCTTATAGTTTACTAAAAAAAATTTAAAAGTTAAGGGGGTCATGATTCTAGTTATTTTCCCTATTTCTACCCCTGATGTCATGTAGTAAATGTTTAAAATGTACAATTTCTTTGTTTTTTTTTTACGGAACAGCAGCATAAAGGTTTACAATAATGTTATATTATAAAATAAAAAAGGCATACGATCATTGATTTTTTTTTTTGGTCAAATACGATCATGGAAGTAGGCGTGAGTGCATCAACCCAAAATTAACTAAATCCATCTGAATCAATTAGAAGTCTGTGTATTTTAAAAAAAAAATCGCATTATTTATAACTTTTCGAGAATATATTTTTCTAGTAAATTTTATTTTTTTGTTTACAGAAGTAGACTAATAGAAATTAAAGCTGAAATTAAATCAATTTGTTAGATATTTTTTGTGAATTTTTTAAAATGCTCATTAGCGCCGAAAAAGATCCATTAAAGTTAAAACCATGTGTGTTAGTACAACGTGCTTCCGCTTCTTGTAAGGGTGTTCATAGGTTCGGTTTGGTTTGGTTTTGGGCAAAAACCAAACCGAACCGACAAAACCAAACCGAACCGAACCAATCGGTTTACTTATTAATGGGACCTTATCGGTTTTTGTTATAATCGGTTTGGTTCGGTTTTATGTTCGGTTTGGTTCGGTTTGGTTAATGTTTAGATCAAGTTTTAATGAATTTATTTATTTATTTTTCTTTTTTATCCATATTCATTAAACCTAATTTTTTTGACTCCTTTTTTTATAAATAGAGGCATAAAAATATAATAAAATTTTAATATGATAACAATAATTAATCATAAAAATTGATATTAGTAATAGTGTTTAGAATTAAAATTATTTAATGTTATGAATTTTTATTCAGGTCATTTAAAAATATTTATCTACATATCTATATTTTAACATGTAATATATAACGAAAAATAACTATAAAAAATTCTAAACAAAATGTTTCTTGTAAATAAATTGAATATATAAACTTTTGGTTTAAGTCTTTTTGTGTGGACAAAACTAGAGGACAAATATCCTCGAAAGCAGCATGGGGGAGGAACAAATTAAACGAGTCAGGAAGCCAGGGCACATTTATTATATACTTATATGTAATTTAGAACAACATATCCAACAGACCAACACCCATCATGGTCAATGTTTATCATTCTTTATTTATTTTTAACATTTTAGCTTTCCAAGTTTATAACATAGTTGTCAATATAATGTAATCTCTTATTCTCTTTTCATTATGGCAAATCCTTGTCATCATTGTTTTCTTTTTCACTTTCTCACGTTGACACTAACTCATCTTGTTTTTTCCATTCTTACAGTGATGAGAACGACAGGCAACAATGAGGCCAAGCCTTTGATTATGAGCCGGAAGTTTGTGAAAATAAAAAAGAACATGTTAATCATTGACTTCCTTCAAGGTGTACATGTGATAAGCCAATAATTATTCAAACATAGAGAAAGCAAAAAGTTGTCAAGTGTTGCTGTCTTAATCTCAAGCAATAAGATGATACTAATTGTTAGATTCTCATTTCTTAACACATACAATTTATATAACCTCATGTCTTTAGCAATCATTTCTCAATATCATGATATCTATCATAATATTCACTTAAACTATACCAAATGTCTAGCATTCCAAAAAAAAATTGACATATTTAATTACAACTTGTCCTTAAACTAAAAAGAGACATTCATATGCTTGAAATTATCCAAAAAAAAAATCATTCCATCTCAAGCATCAATCAATTGTTATATGAGGCATAACACCTGAAATAAGGAAGAAAACAAGTCAATATCCAAATAAAAAGAATAATTTTATGACAAATAAAATAATTGACACATATATACTATATAGTACATTAGTACTTACATATACAAAAAGAGGTTAGAAGATCTTGATAGCTAATTATCATCATCTTCATTCAAAGTGACAACACCAAGATCTATAATAATAAAACAAATTATCAAAGCAATAAATAATCTAACAAATAATTAAACTAAATAAATATCACTTTCAATTTATAAAAATATTACCAATTACATATACAAAAAGAGGTTAGAAGATCTTGATAGCTAATTATCATCATCTTCATTTAAAGTGACAACACCAAGATCTATAATAATAAAACAAATTGTCAAAGCAATGAATAATCTAATAAATAATTAAACTAAATAAACATCACTTTCAATTGTAAAAATATTACCAATTTCTATTTTCTCAATTTCATCCACCTTCTCTTCAACATCACTTGCTAATGGAGTAGATCGAAACCAATTATTTGCACAAATAAGGGCTTCCACTGTCTTGATACCCAATGAACATCTATACTCATTTAGTATACGACCCCCAGTGCTGAAAGCAGATTCAGAAGCTACAGTGGAGATAGGCATGGCTAATACATCCCTAGCAATTTGTCCAATGACAGGATATTTAGATGAATTCACTTTCCACCAATTAAGTATGTCAAATTTGGGATTTGTTTTTTCTCTAGTCTCCATCAAGTAGAGGTCCAACTCTGATTGATTTTCAACATTATCATCTTCATTCATAACTTTATCAAACTCCATTGCAAATGAATCTTTTTCACCATCATCATAGGAAACACCTTCCTTCACTTGGGATTGAGTATTGGTTGAACTTTTTTTAAGGCCATGAAAAGACTTGTATCTATCATACATCTTGAAGAGCAACTCTTTCACCTGCCTAGTGAAATATTCAGCCATATCTTCATCGTAGAGTTTTTTCAAACTCCACTCCACAAATTTCAACTTGTACCTAGGATCAAGTACCACAGCTATAAAGATCATCATATTCAAATTATCAACATTCCCCCAATACTTGTCATGTTTTTGTTTCATCTTCCTTGCCATTGAATTCAACAAAGGATCATCACTTAGACACATATCATTCAAAGTCTTTACTACCAAGCAAAACTCATGAAAATATTGAGAAGATGTAACATACAATGAGCCAGAGACTTTTTTGGTGACATCAAAAAATATTTTCAAGAATTTGACAAAAACACGTGCATTTTCCCAATCCTTTATGGTTGGGGGTCCTTCCTTATCAATTGCAAAAGTAGTATCCTTTTCTTCTAATCTCTTGAATGCCTTTTAAATTTCAAGGCACTTTCAAGCATCATGTAAGTAGAATTCCATCTTGTAGGACAATCTAACTTCACAATATCCTTTTCTTGAATTCTTGTTTGCTCTACACAAGACTTGAACTTTTGGAACCGTAATGGTGATGCACGAATATATCGAACTGCATTTCTAATTCTTGTTAAAGTATCACCAATCTCTTTCAACCCATCATTAACAACTAAATTCAAGATGTGTGCACAACATCTAACATGCATGTATTCTCCTTTCATAATGTGCCCATTCCAATCAAGTATCCTATCTTTAACATAAGATATAGCAGTGTCATTACTTGAGGCATTATCAACTGTAACTGTAAAAACTCTATCAATTCCCCAACTCAACAAACACTTCTCAATCAATTCACCAATAGTTTCACCTTTATGATCAGCAATTTGACAAAAGTTCAAAATTCTTTTATGCAATTTCCACTCATCATCAATGAAATGTCCAGTGAGGCATAAGTAATTCATATTTTGTAAAGATGTCCAGCAATCAGTGGTCAAACAAACACTTTGTTTTGATTTACAAAATACATTCCTCAACTTAGCTTGTTCAGACAAGTAAAGACTCAAGCAATCTCTAGCTACTGTAGTACGTGATGGAAGGGGAAATAGAGGTTGTGCAATACTCATGAAATACTGAAAACCTTCATTCTCAACAAATTTAAAAGGCAACTCATCAACAATTATCATTCTAGCAAGAGCTTGCCTACAAGAATTAAGATCAAATGTCACCCCCTTCAAACTAGTTCCACAACCTTCTCCTTCTTCTTTTTTTTTTTGGTTGGAAGGAAAGTTTAGGTTGTTTAGGATCTATATCTCTAACACCAAATTTCTTGCATCTTTCTTCTAAATGTGTTGCCATGTTAGAAGTGCCATTTCTTTTTTTATGACAAGCATAATCAAAGCCACACCAATTACATGTGGCCCTTGGAAATTCAGGATCACAACCCTCCATCAAAGTAAAATGACTCCATACCCAAGATTCAGGTCTAGTTGGTTTTCTTTTACCTGTAACTTTTGAATTTTCTGGTTGCTTTTCACCTTTGTCTTTCTCTTGCTCTTGATCTTTCTCTTGCTCTTTCTCTTTCTCTTTTTGTTGATTTGAATCCATAGTTACATGAGCATTGTTAATCAATTCCGGCTTGTTATTCTTAGGTTGCTCATCATCATCATGAACATCCATCAACTCCATATATGTTTCTTGCTGAAAAAAACATAAGCAATTATATCAATCAAATATGATACTAAATGCTTTTTGTAAAAAAAAATACTATATAAAACATTTACCTCATTTTCACTCATATTGAAACTCTAGGATATGCACTGTGCAAGTGGCCTCTCAAGAAAGACAAATAATCCTGCATTATATTATGAAAGGAAAGATAATTTAATAAAGTAAATTAAATTAAGTTGTTCTATTAAAAAGACAATATGCTATCCTCTTTATTAAAAAAGTTAAAAATTATATTTACTCTATAACCTATTGTATATTTGTATTCATGTGCATATCATTGATATGATATCAAAACAAAACAAGTGGTCCCTCTTGGTCTCTTTGCTCTACCGGTCTACCCCACAGTCACACTTTAAAATCAAAGCAATAATCTTTTATTAATTGCAGAGCAAGTCAACCTAATTAGGCAACAATCTTTGATCAACAAATGCATCATATAGCTTATAAATCTAAGTCAACCTAAACACCAAAATAAGAATAAGAATAGTGGCAAGGCAATCAGGCAACAGCTAGGATTAGGAAACAAGATTATTACACCAACCGAAGCTCCAGAGTCCAGGCAACTGAGATAAGGAAGTAAAATGCAGAAAGTGATTCAGACTGTGGCTCGAACCTGGAAGAGTGGAAGTGGAACTGTAGAAGCTGAACTCGAGTAGACTCTGTTCTGGGACGCCGCGAGTGGCTGACGGCTGTGACCTGTGTGAGTGTGCGCGACTTGGAAGTAGAACTGTAGAAAGTGAAAACCGAACTTGAGTAGCCGACGGTGAACTCTGTTCTGTGATGAACTCTTTGGTCTGCAATGCTGTGAGTGACTGACGGGCGACGGCTGTGGCTTGTGTGCAACGCTGTGAGTGGCCGACGACTGTGGCTTGTGTGCGACTTGGGTACTGGACTTTGCGTTCGTGTCCGTCGTCGGTCGTCCAAGACTGACTCTGTCTATCTCTGGCTCTGCGTCGTCTTTGGCTTGGTTCTGACTTCTGAGGTTCTCTGCAGTCTGTGTGTGTTTATCTGTGTGATGCGTATTGTGCAAGCCTGGCTCAAGCATTAAGGAAACCTAAACCTAAAGTGTGAGCCACACGTAAGGGAAGGCAGGTCGTGAGTCGTTCGTGTCTTCGTGAGTCGTGACTCTCTCTGGCCAGACTGAAGCTGAACCACTCCGTGACGTGATGAATCCGTGACCGTGAGGACTGAGGCGTGAGCGTGAGCATGACGTGAACTCGTGAAGTTTGGTCTGACTGAGCCTAATGGTCTCTCCTGATCTCATTTGGGCTTGGGAAGTGGGCTACTAATTATTTATTGGGTAATGGGCTGGGTAAGGCATAAGGGGGTTTGGGTTTATTTGGATTGAAATTAAGGTTACATATTTTATAAATAAATAAATAATATTTTGTTAATCAGGTCTGGTTCAGGTCTGGTTCGGTTTTTAATTTTCAAAACCGAAACCTGAACCAAACCATTCGGTTTCCTTATCCTAAAAACCGAAGCAGACTTGATTGTTGATCGGTTTTGATCGGTTCCTTTCGGTTTGGGTTGGTTTGGATCGGTCCGTTCGGTTTGGATCGATTTTGAACACCCTTAGCTTCTTGTACTGTAAGAACACATGCAACTACATAAACAAAGGGAGGAGGGTCTCTCCTTTTTCCTCCACTTTTTAAATCTTCACCATTCACTATTATTTGATTAAATAATTTTGTTAAAAATTATAGAATGAACGAAGGATAAACATTAGGGAAATGGAGGAAAAATGAGAGAAAGAAAAAGAGACTCCTCTCCCACGAAGGAAACTCAAATAAGCAGCCAATTGAGAGTCACAAGGTGATACATATCCAAGCTTCTGATGATTAACCCAATTTCTGTCTCATGGGTTCTTTCTGTACGCCATCTTGCTTAATTAAGTTGGCTTCATTGTCAATCCTCATCACCATCGTGGAGTGAGAATTGCGTGTGGATATATATTACCTTGTTTTTCTTTTTGAATTTTGTTTATTTTAAAATTTTCTATGAAAATAATCCACATCCCAAAAAAAAAAAAATTAACGGAATTATCATATATCGTAGCTCATAGCTTTGTCCTTCTGAAAAAAAAAAAAAAAACATGAAGAAGAAGCAAGGCTTCCGTTTGGGGTCAAGTTAATTAGTGCATTTTTGTGACAGTTTTGTCATCAATCGTCGTAAAAATTCTTTTATTTTTACTATATTTCGTTTTGTATTGCGAAAATAATTTTTCACCTGTTAAAAAAATTGCTTTTTCCACTAAAGTCCTTATAATCCAATCCATCGTGACCATTTATTTAATGAGTATGGCTTTGTGGTTCTAAAAAATAAAGAGGAGCTTCGATGGAGGGGGGAGAGAGAGAGAGAGAGAGAGAGGTGAACTTCATTTCTGAAGATCCTGCAGCTGCAATAATAAAAGCGAGTGCGAACCAACTTTTTTTTTTTTTAATCTTTTTAATTAATCATCCTTTCTCCCAAATCAAATATTTCGTTCCTTCCAAATTAAATTATAAAATATTTTTAAATTAAATTTTACATATCAATAAAACTCATTAAATATATTTTATAACTTTATTTTTTAAAATAAAAATATAAATTTTTAAAAATATTTTTCATTTAATACTTCATCAATAAAAAAATATTGAAGAGAGAGAATATATGAAAAGATAATATTAAAAAAGTATCATGACTAAAACTTTATTTTCATCAAAATGTCTTGCATTTTGGGGTGCTAAATCTTTTTTTAAAAATATTTTATAATTTGGAATCAAGAGAGTATAAGATAACTTAATTTTTTATTATTTTAAAATATAAGATCATTTTAAAAAGATAAAATTTATTAATGACGTTTTTCTAATATTACCCTTTCAAAATAGATATAATAGAAATAATATTATAATATAATGATTAAATAGATAAGAACATTTTTTAAATTCAATAGTCTTGTTTTGAAAAAGTAGACAAATTTCATTAATAGGAATTTGAATGAAAGAAAAGTGGAGGCATGGATGTTGGAGAAAGAAACGCACCAAGGAGTAGTGTAAGCCTCTTGGCATAGGCATAGAAGAGCAACTGGTGCAGAAAGAAACGCACCAAATCGCTCTCTTGTTATAAAATCATCAACAAAAGACAGATCATTGCGATCCAGTAGTACAGTTATCAGATTTTATTCTACACCCTTGGGTATTTAAACTCTTCTTTGCTCGCCCTCCATCTGCCTCAATCCTCAATCAATAAAGCAAATTAAGATCATCCATGGCCGGATTCTCTGAGAAGGAACAAGCTCTGGTCAAAAGCTCGTGGGAAGATATCACCAAAAACTTTTCCCATCACAGTATTCGTTTCTACACCCTGTAATTGTTTCTCCGAATATAAAACCTCCTTTTCTTGGTTGCCTCCGCGCGACTCCATTCGTACTAATGTATTGGTTCAATTGAATAGGTTATTGGAGATTCTGCCTGCAGCGAAAGAGATGTTTCCTTTCTTGAAAGATTCAAATGACGTTCCCAAAAATAACCCCCAGCTAGAGGCCCAGGCCATGAAGGTTTTTAAGTTGGTAGGAATGGATCCCGTCCCGTCCTTCTCAATTCTAACTTCAATTTCTACACTATCTCGTAGGTTAGGAAACCAGAGACGCACTAGCTATTTCACAATGGCAAATCAGACTAGAACGAATATATGCATGGTAAATGTTGTGATTTGTGGATCTTCAGACTCTTGAATCAGCGACTCAACTGCGAGAGAAAGGAGAGGCTGCGATGGAAGATGCTGCGTTGAAGCAGTTGAGTTCTGTGCACGTTCAAAAGGGAGTCACTGATTCCCATTTTGAGGTAATACAAAGCAATTTTAAACAACTAATTAATGTGCAGGAAAATTGTTTAATTTTTTAATGAGCTAGTACGTACTTGTGGATAAAGTGAAGTTGATTTGATTTGATTATTTTAGGCGCTTAAAGAGGCACTGCTGAAAACAATCAAGGAAGCTGCGGGGGCAAAATGGAACGAGGAACTCAATGATGCGTGGGCCAGAGCCTATGATGAGCTGGCAGCTAATATCAAGAAGGGAATGGCAAAGGCTTGGTGTTTGAGCTAGCTAGTGAGATGAATATTAATTGTTGATGAGGTTTTTAAATTTAATTAGTTGAGAATAATCTGCTCTTAAGGTTATTGTGATGCGACCATTTTCTTTGATAGGATTCCGTGGAAAAAGAATAGACACGGGTTTTTGAGTTGAGTCTGATCTCCAGTCATGTTCAAGCTTATATTTTCATCCCATAATATTGGGCTTTAGCTTTACAAAGTTGTAATATGAAAAAAAAAAGTGCTGCGTTCAAATAAACATCATTCTCCTACAAAAATAATAAATATCATTCCGTAAACATTCTTGTCAATTTTTTAGGCAAGAGTGTTTTCCCAAATGAATCACTGTCTGCACACAGACACACACACGTGTCTGAGACTGAGGCTGAATCGTACTTAATTTTAATTTTTAAGACTGACCCTTGGCTGCATATAAAAAGATAGCAGGAGTGATGGAATATGGGCAGGAATATTTTTATTATTTTTGAAAAAAATTTCTCCTGGAGTTCTTTCTTCTCTTTTTTTCTTTGAACCCCCCCCCCAAAAAAAAGAAAAAAAAAAACTTGAACCAAGTATACAAGAATGTATGCTGACGTGGCTGGGCTTTTTTTTTTTTTTCCACCGTAGCTTGCTGCCCAATTAACTAGAGTCGAAGCGACTCACATACAAATAAATTGGAAAGAATCAAATCTAATGATCTAACAATCTAATTAGACAGGAGAGACAATTAGTAGAGGCTAAATTATTCACAGTGAATATGATCTCACATTACTTCAACGACGCGTTTTTCCTAGCTGTTATTTCTCCAACGGTTTTTAAAAACTGCCACAATTTTCAACGTTTGTATTTACTAATTTAATTAGTAATTCAATTTTCTTTTCCAACACCCTTAGAAATGAGCATAACTCTTCGTTTTCCTCGTCATTTTCCATAAAATTTCAATTGGCCACAATTTTTTTTTTTCCAATTTCGCCTTATGCTCGCGCGCGCTTTTTCTTCCAAAAAAGTTTTTTTTTATTTAAGAGCCATTGATTTCACTCAATGAAAAAGAAGGTCCCTTAAATTTTAAAATTTCATCTCACACCAAGAATACTCAAGTGAAATTAAAATGTTGAGAAAAATGATAAAATTAACTCTCTTTTAATTCTGAGCTCTACAATATCAAATTTTTGTAGATCAATGAACAACTTTAGTATTGAACAACTCATTTGATCATGATTGTAACATGAAAAAAAAAATTAAGATTTAGTAATGGCATCAACAATTCATGTGAGTTAATGAATAACTTCATATAGAAAAATGAACAATCTATTTTATCATAATTACGATACGTAATAAAATTAATATTTAATAATGATACAAATAATTTCTGTAAATTAATGAACAACTTCAATAAAAAATCAAAGAGAATGTGAGATAATGAGATAATTTTAACCCTAGACTCAAGTGAATTTTCAAAGCTTAAGGGCCTTTTTTTCATCAAGCATAGTTACGGATCTTAAATGAAATTTTTCTAATTTCAAAATGTTGGGAAAGGGAAAAATCATTCTAATAATTTTTTTGGTCAAAGCACATGTTATATATTGCTCGTTGAGCGCAATCTGATCATATATATATATATATATATATATTTTGGCCAACCTGAATTGTTAGTACATGATCACAGCTACAATATACTATAATCTTGCCTTCAAATGTTAATTTTCAATTAAAAATCTTTCTTTTAATTCATCTGGTGAATAATTTTATGTACATGCTTTATGAATACAGAGTATATGATGTGTGTATTCATTAATATTTCACCTGATGATGAATAATTTTTAGCCCATGTACATGTATAAAAGTTTGCCACATCAGAAATTTTATTTACTCCTGAAAATAATACTATGTCATTATGCTCTATCCAGCAAACACAATCTTTTGGTGAAGAAAGAAATTTGAAAAAAAAAAACTTAAATGATGAGAGAAAATATGTATATTGAAGATAAACATAATTTTTTAATTTAATTTAATTTGGAGCATTCTTATTAGCAACATGTTGATGACATGGTATTAGGAGAATATATCTTATGGTTATCTTTTCTCTATCAATAAGCAAAGGTTGAATTATCGTACATTTGAATTGCCAAAAAAAAAAAAAAGTTCTTTTGAATGTACGTGGTATCTTTTTATGTTCAATTAATTAATAAAGGGTTAAATTCACTTCTCTATATTCAGTGAATAATGGATTGAGTGCATCCCTCTTTATCACGTTCAATGAACAAGGGCATTAGGCATAAGAAGAAATTAAATGCGAAATCATATCACTCTGTGAGATATAATTGAGATTGAGAAGTTGTATATATATTTATAAGTTTAAAAACATTTTCAAGTCCAAGTAAAAAATAAATTTCAGCTAAAGTATACATTAAGTCCTTTAACTTTATGCAACATTTTATTTTAATCCCTTAACTTTATAAGATATTTTTTTAATTTTTTAATCCTAATATTATTAATTTTTTCTCAATAAATTTTTACATTAAACTTTTAAATTTGACAAAATATTTTCAAATATTGATATATTAATTTTAATTTTTTTAAATAACAATAATTGACACAAAAAATAATCGTTTGAAACTAATGATGTTAAAGTTAAAGAATTAAAAAAATACTTTATAGAATTAAAAGACTAAATTAAAATTTTAAATAAAGTTATAAGACTAAAATTATACTTTAATTAAAATTTAAATATTCTAAATTGGGGATTGGTGAATTTAGTATTTTTGCTCATTTTATTATTTTTATAAAATATAAAATCTTCTCTCTTTTTTAAAAAGAAAACTTCACTTAAATTTACTAATCTAATTTTAGAGGATAAAAACTTTGGAGTTATAAAATCATCTAAAACTTTTTAATTTCACGAGTTGACAAAAATTCGGAAAGGCATCTTTGTATCCTTAGAGATAGAGATAATTAAGTTTAAAATTGGAAAAATAACAGAGAGGTTTAAAAGGGATTAATTAATTTAAATTAAGTTTCAAGTATTAAATTTCAAAAATTTGGAAGTTCAACTCTTAATTGTGATGAATTTGTTACATATGTTTCAAATTTTGACACTAAAAATAAATTTATTTATTCATATTAAAATTAAAAAAATAAATTATAAATTTATCGTAATAAAGTTGTAAAATTGAAAGACGAACTTGCATATTTTTAAAGTTTGATGCTTGAAATCTAATTTAAATTAATTGATCATCTTAGGACTTATTTGTCATTCTCTTTTTAAAATCTGGCTGTCTTGTGGAAAACTAAAAATTGTATTATAATTATAAATGAATTAATTTACTACTACCTCCGCCTCGTCGGGCCTGAGATAAATAACGTCCATTTACTCGTTTAATTAAACCACATCAACATATCAATCAAATTACTCCATTAATAAATGATGATAGACGCTAAATTCAACTGTTGGGGTTTCAAACATTAGTAAATCACGGATACAAATGAATTTACAAACCTTTCACCCCATTAATTTCGTCAAAATCAAATAAAGCAAATAAGTAAAAATGCTGGACTTGAATTTCGTAGCATTGAGTCGGATTCCTCTCTAGTCTCTAGTGACGACGGAGGAGAGAAATAGAAAGAGATGAGATTCATTGATCCCCAGCGCCCTCGCACAGATCCCTTGCGATAGCACACATGGAAACATCTTATCAATGTACCTTCAAAAGGTCGCCTATGGCACCCTTTCATGTCCTTAAATACCAAACCCTACCGACCACCTTTCTTCACCTCCCCAACAAACTATGGCTTCTCCGTCTTCTTCCTCAAGCACTGACTCCAGTACCGGCAGTGTCACGGTCTCCCAAAATGAATTTAACCACTTTCACAACATCGACCGCATCCTCTTCACGCGTCTCCTGGCGTCTCTCGGTCGCGAACCCAACGAGGCCATGCAGGTCATGGCGTACCTCATCTGGCTCGAGAACATGACCAAGGATTTCAGGCTCGTATCCAACCTCCTCCATGCTTCCGATGCTTTACTCAACGACCTTGTAAACGAGGTCGTCTTCGCCCTCATTTGCATCGAGAGCAACCAGCTCCCTCGCGATGCCAACGCCGTTAACGACCTGCGTTTAACCGAAGGCGTCACCCGGAGAAGCGTCACCGTCCGCTACTTGCTAGAAAACCGCGCGTGCATAATCGGTGCCATCACCAAAATAATCAACGACGTCTGCATCAGAGCCTTCACGGACATAGTGCAACGAGTGAAGGTGAGAAGGCTATGAGAAAACGTGGCTTGATGAGTCCGACGGCGCAACGGGTTTATTACGATTCTACAGATCATAAAGCTATTGCCTGGTGCGGCGATGCCAGTTCTGGGTGTAGTTATGAGTCTCAGAAGATGTTAAAGAGGTTGGAGCTGAGTGCTGGTGTGACGAAGCATGTGCCTCCAGATGAAAGGACCATTTTTTTGACTTTCTCGAAAGGGTACCCTATATCCGAGGCAGAGGTCCGAGACTACTTCTCAAGGTTCGTTCGTTCGTTCTTCTTCTTGTCTTTTTTTTTTTTTTTTTTGGTTTCTTGTACTCGAACATAATATGATGTCATTTTCATAAGCATAAGGGATGCATGAATGGTTTTGTTTTGTCTATCGGTGCAGAAGATATGGAGACATGATTGAAGAAGTATACATGCAAGAAGTTCAAATGCTGGAGCAACCTCTATATGCGCGACTAGTAGTGCGTCCGAATGGCGAAAATTTGATAGATATAGTGCTGGAAGGCAAAGGCAAAGTCAAGTTCAGCATCAATGGGAAGCATGTCTGGGCCAGAAAGTATGTTCGCAAGACCACCAAATCTCCACCCACTTCCCCTTCTAAGTCATCCTTACCCTCCCTCCCTCCGTATACATAGGGTTGTCCCTTGTCTCATACTAGATGTATAAATATATATAGAATCGAGGAATGTATTATTTAATTTGTGTGTGTATATCTACATTCCGAAGGAGCCGACACTGTCTTTGCTAATGCCTAAGAAGACCCCAAAATGGGAGTGGGACGTCATTAGGTCAAAACTGATCGATGTTGCGAAAAGCCCCGGCCCGCAAGTGCGCGCCCAACAAATTCATGAAACCATTGTCGGCTCAAAGAAAGGATACAGTATCCGTGCATCTTGTGTTATTCTTTTGATTTTGATATTTCACCAAAAACAATAACAATATTCCCCAATATTTTACTATAAATTTTAATAATTTCTTAATTCTTACTGACAGTTAAGTTTAAGCCTCGATATATATATTTTTTGACATGAAGCATAAGCATAACTTAAGTACATGGAATATTTGGCCGGTGAATTACCTCATATTTTTTAATCAAAAGTCGGAAGTCAATGTGTTGGTCACCTAACATACATTTAATCTCTGGGGAACTTAAAACTTCCTCAACCTTTTTGGGCATGGATCTGGTTAATGTATACTTTTTTATAACAAGGCACTTTTTTGATAATACACGTATAGTTTCTTTAGTCCAAACTTCAAAAAGTTAGGGACTTCTAATACGCCATTATCTAATGCTCTTTATGATGTTTCAATATTTCAATTTTATTTTTTATTTTTTTTATATCATTGGCTTCTATATAAAATAAGAGACATTTAGATATATTGATGTCTTAAAATGGTGAAAATTTATATTTTTTATAATTTTTTTTAAAAAATATTATAAATACATTCTTTTATTTTTAAAAAATTATAAAAAATATAAATTTTTATCATTTTAAAACATCAAGATATTCAAGTGTATCTTATTTTTTGTAAAAGTCAATGATTCAAAAAAAATAAAAAATAAAATTAAGATATTAAAATATTATAAGAGATATTAAAAAAAATATATTAAAAAACAGTATATTAGAGGCCCTGGCCAAACTTAAGAGGTGTGTGATGTGGTGTGAGGTTGAATTCTCTCCTCTCCCTGTGGCTCTTTCCCCTTCCCGAGTATTCTTCTTCTTCTTCGTCTTCTTCTTATGTTTACCTTTCAGTCTTACAGCTGAGATTACAGATTTTGCCTGTAATTCTCAGTTGGGAAAATAATAATACAGAGCTGTGATTATTTCTGTCCAGATATTTCCAGTGTTGATTCTCTCTGATTTTGCAGGATAAGTCGTAACAGAATACTCTCAATTTGCAAGAAAATAAAACTGTGCGTATAAACATCCCAAGAAATCTTCAGCCACAAATTGAAGGCAAGGAAGCTCGATCCTTGATGATGTACACGGATCAAAAAAAGTTTTACAAGAAATTTGAAACGCCCCTTCATGTTGAGATACAGCAGGGCATGCATGGATTTTACAGGTATATAGACGTTGGTGGGTTAGTCTCTATCCATATGACGCTTGTCAAAAGAAAAGTCAGATAAGGCGATGGTAATCTCATGTTGAGGCGGTGGGGGGAAATTAGAAGCAGTACCGGTGGGCTCCGAAACGGCCTGATCGTCGGGGTAGCGGGTAGGGGAGGGCGATGAAGCTTCAATGTCCCAATGGTCGTTGTCATGATAGCTCGAAGAAGAAGCCCTGGGAGAAGTGTGGGCACTTTCAGTGCTTCTCAAAGGGTGGTTGCGCAGAAGATGAACCGGAGACATGCCATGGGTTGGGGTGGCTGGTCTGCTTGAGAATGGAGTCACTGACTCTGATAACAACGAGTGCTTGCTTTCTTTCACGTTCTTCCTGGCGGCGTGGTGCCAGTTCTTCAGTGCGGTTGCTACTCTCTCGTTGAAAATGGTTGGCTTCATGCTTGAACCCATCTGTCATCCATAAGTCAACACAACTATCAGTGCCAGCTATAGGGTCCTGAACTGTTAACAAAATCATGGAGTCAGGGAAGCGCTTCTATTTATTAAAGAATACTTGAGGGAGTATTCATAATTCATATCTGTTACCTGGGTGACTAGAGCGTAAAGAGGCAGGGTCACATAGCTGCACAGAACTTGAATGACAACCCTGTAAAATTTGTAACTTGTACATTAGTTTAGAAAAACAGGAGGGAACTACCATGGCACAGTCAGGCAATAATTTCCAACACAGGAGCTCAAGAATGATCGGTGGTTGGTGTCTAGCCGTTTCTTTAGGAATGTTCCTATTATATTTGCAAGAGGAGGGAGCTTACCCCACTGTAAGTCTAATGACAATAGCCGCAGTGCCTCGGTGGAAGCAAGAGTCTATTGAGAATTCATACTGAAACACAAACAACAAATGGCAAAGGCAACGTCAGACAGGTTACAGGTATTGAGGCTACTCTTCTATTCTGGATAGCTGAACATTGCAAATTATTCCTAATTAAGTTATACCACCTCATATTGGTGTATATGCTTCATTTTTTATTTAGTTAACTTTCAAGCACTAAATTATTCACCAGCAACGTCTCTAGAATAGGACAGCAATCTGGACTACAGAAATTATATGATCTGCAAATGCATGTCTCCCTAGCTAGTAGGCACTTCTGATGGTTAAATTGTGTTGAGGCTTTTTTAAACTTTTCATCATTATGCTGATACTCATTCTCTTTCAATACATTTAATTTTACGAATTGCATCTGAAAAAATCCTTTTGTAGTAATGTCCATATTTAATAGAAAAACACATGAGCCATCCAAGCACAAAATCAAGCGAAGTTCACTAAGATAAGATAAGAAACTTACGGTACTCCAAGCAAAAAATGCGAGTTCAAATGCATTCTGCAAGAAAGTGGCAAGCAATACAATCATGACTATCATCAGAAGCATTGGCACTGAAATTAAGTGAAGGGAAGTTGAATTGAGATAAGAACCTGAAAGAGAACAAGATGAATCAAAAAGAGGAGAAGACGTGGGCGGTTGAACCAGAACAGGTGATCCCCCGGTTCAACCACTGGTGCACCCTTCACCACATCCCCCCTTTCTTGAATCCTCAATGCCATCTTTGTTATAATCATTTGAAGCTTGGCGCCAACCAGTAAGATTATCTACACCATCCAAATTGTATTGAACCATATTATTAGCCTTAGCCTCTCATTAATTCAAACATAGCAACAAATAAAAACTTTTGAAACCAACTGTTTTCAAGAGTTCTCTTGCTACTTACAATCAATGGGATAAATGGAAGCCACAAATGAGCATGCCATCCTGCACACACCCAACCCAAGTTTCTAAGTTACAATTAATGGATTCAAGTAGAATGTAAACATTTATATATCCCCTTGCTTATGCCTCATTGGCTGAACGTCTTTGACATGATTCACAATGTAGCAACATATCTAATGCATATTATCATATTTCATAAGAAAATTACTTTAAAAAAATTTTGAATTAGTCTTACCGTTGGTGTTTGTCAGCAGGAACAGCACTGCGGAAAACCATATGATGGGACTGCAAGTGCCAATAGGTTGAAGATCAGATTGCCAGGTCAAGTTATTCAATGAAATAAAGCAAATTAAGCATTACATGATACATGATGTCTGTTACCTTATTCCCACCACAACTTTGAAGTCCTCCTCAAGTGATCTATTAATGTACTTCTGGAAATCGAATTTTGATTCGCTTCCGGGGGCCAAATGAGCCTACAATTACATGGTCAATTTTGGGGTTGCCTTTTGAACTGAATTTAAAGCTTTTAATTTAGACACATTTGAGAGAGCAAAAACTCACAATGATAAATCCATGCCTTAGTGCCATGTAATCAACCTTTGTAACTGATCCGAAGAACTGTCTAAAGAAGCAGACCTGATTTAAAAAGGATAACATGCCTTAGATTGACGAATGCAATTACACTTGTGCTTTATTATATTATTATGGTGTTCTAAATTCACATAATTAGTCATCAATTTTAAAGAGTAAGCTAGCTAATATAAGTAGAGCTCATTATAATCCAAGGTAAGGTAACATTATCGTTAACGTATGCAATTCTTGAACTTACAATCCACAGTGAAATGGGAGAACGAGTCCAGATATTCATATGCCTTCTTCCAAATGTCGTCTCCCTCGTAAACCTGAACCTCTCAGGATCTGCAATATATATTGTGCAAATTGCAATGTCAGACATGGTGCGTACACTAAACTTCCAAATCTGTGATAATTAAATTGATCTTTTGTTTCTCACGCGAACGTATTTAATGCACTGATGACGAGAAACTAAACGAAATAATACTCTAATTAGAAAGCCAATCATCATTCATCAAACACCCCCCTCGGGCTATTAAAAAAAAACAAAAATTTTAATTGAAGGCGAGTTTGCGTGTGTGGATATGTCTTGGAGCTTTTATAATAAGTAGTGAACGCATAGAGTAGACAATCATAGGGAGGTGGGTGCTCTAATGGCTTTTTTATTTCATTGACTAAAATCACGAGCAAGTGGGTGTATAATATTGACATACAAGAGAAAAACTCTAATTTTGTCTCTCACATTTTTTGATTTATGCCCTATAGATAATTCATTTATATATTTGATCATTTATAAAAATATTTCTCAGTTCAACGGCTCAGACAATATATACAAACACACACACACACGTGCATATTTTTTGTTGGCAAATGTATTTATATATTGGAAGAAGTATGATTTTGCCCAATTAATTGCTTCTGAGACCGCAGCTAGAATTAATGTGTGTATGTGTTTTGTAGTGAAAGAATATTATTGATAATAGTTTAATTGTGCGGGTTAAATTGAAATATATTTCATATGTGGGAGACAAAATTGAGAAAGCAATTTATGAGGGGCCAAATCTGAAAGCATCATATTTGCGAGGGACTATTGAAAATTAAACCATGCGTGCAAAATTGTCATCAGCTTAGTACCGTTATAGAATTGATATTGAAGGGTCTTGGTTTCATCTTCCCAGGTCTTCCATTTTTTCATCTGCATCGGGGGAAGCAATGGAAGAGTTTGAGAGAAGAAAGGGGAAGTAATAGTTGAAATGGATTAATTTCCCGATCAATCGGCTTCCGTATCTTATCTGAGTGAGTTGAATATTGAGGTACCTTAGTTCTGCCCAAAGTAAGCGTGATGATACACTGAAGGACATGAAAAATGGCCAGCACAAAGATGAATATATGAAGTTGGTGGATGCCATAAGCAGAAACAAAAGCACGTTTGCCCTGCAAATACAAAAGACATGAAATATCTTGTCAGCTTAATTTCTATTGCTTCCAGATCCTTGAGAATGAAAGACGGAAGCTAAAAAGACATGAAAGTGATGGATGAGTTTGCCTTGTCGGCGCATTTATCGTATCCTTTTGTGGCGAGAACTCGTCGGGGTGAGGGGTCAAGAAACTGGAGAAGCTTGCGAGAATTGGTGTCGTCAGAATCCTCAGAATCAGATTGGGCTTGATTCGTCTTCGGAACAGCACAAGGATGCCAAGTGGCAGCAACTTGTTCTGATATGCAGATACCGGCAATGGTGTCTTGAAACACCGTCAGCAGTAGTGATATGAACCCCAGCAGCATCAGCTCTATACCATCAAATTCGTTAGGAAGGGAATTGATGATGAGAAATTAAGAGGTTAGCTTAACAATCAAAGCCGGACACAAGACGGATAATTACCTCCTTTAACCTTTTCTAGCGCTTCATAAAGAGCCCTTTTGTTTTTCTTCTTGAACCACTGTAATTTCCAAACAGAAGGAAGCAATCAGAAAATTTACATGTCCACCCAAACAAGTTCCGCAAAAGTGTTAAAAGAGGAATTGGGCCGTGCAGTGCCGGGAAAGAAGCAAATATCGTGTATGGAGAGGGTTACATACATGTCCAACAACATGGATAAGATGTTCAATGGCAATGGAAATAGCGAGCAAGACGAAGCAGACAACAGCAACTGCCCATGTTGGTGTTTTCTCCAAGGTTTGCTCTTCAACTTGAGTCATCTCGCGAGTGTTGTCGTCTCTGCTGATCTCTGCAAGACACAAGATCGAGGAGAGATGTGGAGGGACAGGACGACTGTACAGGGGGTGACGAGATGACGTTGGATGATGGGAGTAAGTTCCTGTGTTTGATGGCTTATTTGCACTGCCTCGGTTTAAATATTGAAGCGAGGGACGAAAAGAGAGCGAGTTTGCGCGTCTTCTTCAGAGAAATAAGACTTTGACATTTTCAAACCAATGATTGGTCAAACATTGATCAAATGAATATGGAGCTCTGTCCCGCCTCGGCTCTGTTATCTACGCTGCATTCTTTTTTTTTTTTTTTGGTTTATTGAAACGACAAGAAAAGCCAAATAGAAAATGAAATTTCTTTTTCATATAGACGAGGGACATCAGACATTTCTTTTTTGTGGTTCCAAGTTATTACAGGAGTGAGTTAGTTAAAGATCTTTTCATATTACTTCATGCAGACGAAGACCCAGTTGATGCAAAAAGAGAGAGAGAGAGCAGAAAAGTTCAAAAGCAAACAGAGTTATTTGCTAAAAGGGGATAGATAAGGTCAAAATAATCATAGGAGGTGGGGTTTTAGATGGGAGGAAGTTGCCTTAACAAGAAGGAGAGATCATGTTTGATTTGGACATTGAAGACCAAAGGCAGGGCTTTTTTTTTTTTTTTTTTTGGGGGGGGGGGTTGGTGGGGGCGTGGGGAGATGAACTTACGAAATGAATGGTTTCATGCGAGCAGACGGGATGAAGTGATAGGTTCCTCTGTTTGACCCGCTTGTTTAGTTTATTTACAGCAATACGTTGTGATGGACAATAAAAGAGGCAAACAAATGACACGATGATGTTATATTCGTGTGCACAGTCACGGGAAGGGTCAGTGCTGAATCACCGCCATTATAAAAACATGTCTGTTAACCATGACAATGATGAGGAGATCCTCAGTGCTTGTGCCGGGCAAATTTTATTAAAGGGATAATTATCAAGTAACACAGATTAAGTGGATAATGGTGCCACGTTCTCATATTTGAAATTTGAAATATTATATATAAGTGGACTATTAGTATTTGGCCAAAAAAAAATGATGAGTACATGTGTTGGCTCTCGTACATATATTAACCAGGCATCCTATGCCTAGTGCATATAATAAGGCCAAATGATTTGAGTAAATGTATATAATAAAGTTAATTAATATCCGACAATTAACAGATTATGGACAAAAATTAATGGTAATATTTTACCGACACTCAAGTCATCATGGGGCAAACAAAGAAATGTGAAGTGTGGCATTGGTGAAAATATATGGAGGAGACGAGGAGTATTTGCGTCGTTGAAAAGCAGTTTTAGCAGAATCGGGTGGGGCCAGTTGCAGAGCTTGAAAAATGGTGTGGGTCAAAATTAATTGGAAAGCGATAAAAAAATGGAAGAGAAGTAAAATATAGTTATCGAGAGAAGGCAAAGGATGGAGTGAATATTAGGGACGAAAGTTCCAAGGCGGTGAGTGCATTGACCAAATCGAACGCATGTTGGTGGTGGTGTGGGGATGGACATGATCTGATCATCAGGTCTGAGGCCGTTTCGTTCATTTCTTTAGCTTTATGGAAAAAGGAAGTCACCTTGCCGGGATCATATGGTCAGTGAATGTCTCTATCACAGCAGAAAATTCAAAATTTATTATTCCCGGATAGCGAAAAGTCCGATCAGAGTGTCAAACCCGTAACTGTCTTTCCACAAAAATTGTGCACAATAGCCGCCGCATTGCGAAAAGTCCAATCGAAGTGTCAAACCCGTAACTGTCTTTCCAAAAAAGTTGTACATTTCAATGGGCACTCAGATGGATGATAGATTATGAATATATAAATGTTTGAGATGGGTGGGAGTTGCTCCACTTGTTTGGTTCTAGACCCGGTGCTCCTTTCGTGAGAACTGAGAAGAGATTTGAGATGCATCAACGAAGCTGATTTGAATGGTGATAGCGTAAACGTTGAAAGGGCAAAGCAGAAACAGCGTCTGAAATTGACTGCAGCGCGTGGCTGCTGCTGGGTTGGGTGTCACTTTGCTTTGAATTGTTTGCTTTCATTCTCTCCGAACCTGCCACCTCCAAACTCCCTTTTCTTCTTCCTCCTTTTCTGGAATCACTATCACTTCCCCACTTATTTTGCCTCCTCTTTCTTTATATTTTATGAATTTTGGACCCATTTATCTAAAATTAACAAATAAGTTATTTTTAGATTGTTTAAGAATTTTATACTCCCTTCGTTAAAAAATATAAATTATTTTTAACTAAATCTCATACTTTAATAAAGTAGTTATCTATTTTCAAACTAATCATATCTTTTCATATTTATTCTTATTAAATATCTTAAAATAAATATAAAGTCATTATCAATAGGTGTACTTTTGAGAAGAAAAGGTAATGATTACACCTTAAAAGATTAAAAAATGTAACATCTAATTTTAAAAAATACTTTACATTTTTAAATGGAGGGAGTAAAAAAATTTATTTTAGAAATTTTATAAAAAAATATATTATTTAATGTTTGATTACAGTAATTAAAAAGTTATTTTTAGTTAGTTATTTTTAAAGTTTATGATATTTTCTATGATTTTTATTTTATAAAAATGATTTATTGTTTATTTTTTTAAAAAATTTTATGATATCTCCATATATCTTGGCAGGTATAAAACATTATTTCTCATTGTATTAAAGACATTTTCTTTCATTTAACACATTTGATTATTTTCAAAAATTACTTAAAATAGCTTCTTAAAATAATTGAATATTTTTTTTTTTTAGATTCTGCTTGTTTTTAAGGGTTAATATATAATTTAAACCTTATAAGTTCAGAAGCAATTTGAATTCTAAACTTTTTACAAAATACATTTTAAACCTTAAACAATTAAATTTGAAACCGAATATGTAATTTTTATCAAATGAAGGTAGAAGAGAGAGGGAGAGTGGAAGTTGGTAAAAAATTACACACTAAATTCTAATTTATAAAAAACTAATGAATGTTTATTGAAAATTAACGATTGGGGTGAAATTGATCCAACTTTAATTATTTAGAGTTCAGAATGCACTTTTAAAAGTTTTGGGTTTAAATTGCCCCTGAATTTATAGTTTAATTTTCAAATTGGATATTAGCTCTATTTTTAAATATTATAAAAACTTAAAAAATAAGTTTTTCCCCGAAAGGTTTTTTTATTAAAAGAAACTGAAACAAAATGACCCAATATCTTTACTTTTAATCAAATTCACCCCTCTTCTCTTTCACCAATAATTATTCAATCACAAAACTTAATACAACCACAACCACAATTCATTTTATTTTTAAATCATACACTGAAATCTTCATTGTAACTCATCCAAAAATCTACGTTCAACAATATCCGTGTTGGAAATTAGTCTATGCTACCAATAAGTCAACGTAAAAAATGTTCCCTCGTGGGCTCATGAGGAATGACTTTGTTTATTTATTGTATCCCACTAATTAAGATACACCCATGATCGAGCCTTAAATGGGAACGGTTCTTCAAGCACAATGTTTTTCCAATCGTAAGGTTGAGACACATTTTTTGGCCAAAAAAAAAAAAAGAGGTTGAGACACATTTTTCATCCGCAAAGTACCTACTAAATCTAAAGGTAAATTTTGCTAAACTATTTAAAAAACTTCTGCATGTATGATAGTCATCGTGAGCTATTAGAAGGATAATAACAATAAAAAATAAAAAATATTAAGATGAATACTTAATCGTATAAAAAAATTATATCAATAAATAAATTAATAGTTGTGTATACGAAAAGTTAATTTGGCATTTATAAAAAATAATAAAAAATCATTTAAAATGATTCAAGTATGGTGGAAAATAAAAAGATTGCTAATTATACTAGAGTTGAGCTGGTAGCCTTTAGTGTCTGAACAAATATAGGAGGAGATTATCAAAAACACTCAAGCAAGTTATCGAACAATGTCTCTTGATCAATGACATATCTAACAAATAAGTTATGGGACAATGATAGAGAAGTTTTAAGGGAATCAATTAATTCAAATTAAATTTTAAGTACTAAATTTTAATAATTTATAAATTTAATTTTTAATTTTACAACTTCATGATGATGAATTATGACTTGTTTTTTAAATTTTAATAAGAAAAATAAATTTATTTATTCTTTAATTATGTTAAAATTTGAAAAAATAAATTATAAATTTATCATAATAAAATTATAAAATTGAGAGACGAACTTATAAATTTTTATAATTTAACACTTAAAATTTAATTTAAATTAATTAATTTTTTGGAACTTGTGTGCCATTCTTCCATTAATTCTTTTATCCGTCAATGATTGGATATTATTGCAAAAAGCAGAGGTACAACAAAAGGAGGTAGCACTCCCAAACGAAAGGGAAAGACTTAAAGAGCATAATCTAAAATAAAGGCATGCAACAAATATATAAAGACAATCAGCCAGTGCACTCCAAGCATCCGGTAAACCTTGGTTTATTGCAGACAAATGAGATCTCTTCGTATCCTTTGCTAGAAGACGGGATAAAGAAAGCAATGATGTTTTGAAAAGTCTTAAATCATGTCAAGCTTTTTAAAAAAACTAAGGTGTAGTGGTGAGAGTATCTTAAGTCATTCTATCCTCAAGGAGCAAGCAACTTATAATCAAATTAAGCAAATAATCATGACAAGTTAATATTCCAGAGTTGAAGTTGAGAGTTTAAGAAAGAACTTAAATGTTTATATTTGATTTTAATATGATGAAATTGTGTTGAAATCAACCAAATATTAAAGTAGCTTTTCAAAGTTAGATTCCACCATTTCTATCCTTGTTCTTTTTCATATTGTTTTAGATTCAATTGGCTTTTCAATTAGTGTGTGAAGGTGTCTTAAGAACCATCAAAATTAGGTGATCATAATTAGAATTTAGTAACTTGTTAGAATTCGATGCACAAACCACCCAAATAGATATATCAATTTGTGATTCAACCCTTGAAATTACTCCTAGCTCTTGCCTTGATTATGTTTAATACCTTAAACTAATCAAGATTATGATATTAATTAGAATTTAAGACAAAAACAATAGCTAATACATGTCCAAATAGCAAGAAATTGAAATGAAAGCCTATAGGTTAAGCAAAGTTGGAAAGGCCTCTCTAAGTGCCTCATTACCCGAAGCTCAGTCTATGTGTTCCTAAATGGTAGCATTGTTTTGTCATCTGTTGAACCAAGTAAAGCTAGAACTGTTATAACCCAAATCAAAGAGCAAAAAATTGGCTATGAACTTATGAAAATTCAGCATTTTCTCACAGCCCTTGGGTTGCCATCTAACTTCTCAAATTGAAGAGCAATATCATTGAAGTCACCCTAATAGAGCTAAGATTCTCCTATCCCCTGAGTCAATTGCGAACAAGATGCCAAGTTTCGAGTCTATCCTTCTCTTTAGCTGGCCCATAAATAAATGTGACATCATGAGGAGTATCAAAAGAGAAAGAAGATAGCAACGTATGGATCGCATTCAAAGAAGAGAAGAGAATATTGACAATAATACCTTTATTTCACGATGGAACCAAACAACTACTAATCCCATTAGGATCCATAATCTATTCTTCTTCAAAACCACATTTCCTTCTAATTTTACCAACATACTTGTTTTTTTGCTTAGTTTCCATCAGAAACACCAATTAGATTTTATTTCTATTGCATTCATCTGTGAGATTCTTCCCTGCTAGAGCAGACCCCAACCCCTAGCAGTTTCAAGCTAAGAGTTTCATGGTGAACTAGTGGAGGGATTAGCCCTTCCATCGGCATTGTTGAACAAAACCACAGCTTTTCATTTGAACTCTCAAACCTAAATACAAACCAGTTAGGAAGAAAAATTATGGCAAAAACATCCCCAACTCGGTCCTACTGAGTTTTATTTGGTCAACTAATAATCTTCTTTTCATTATGATACCTAATTTTTTGTTTAATCGCTCGACAGCTTCTCTTTAAGATGACAGGTTGAGTTGCTTTCATTTCTTCTTCTGAGCACTGTGCGATTATGTCATTAGGGAAGAGCTTCTTGCATTTTGGAATAGATAGGCTCGAGATTTCTTCAAGGTATTACTTGAGAGCTATTTTCTTAAGGCCTAACGTGACTTCCAACATAGGTGAAAGACCCGAAATGGGAACTATGGCTTTTTTAGGCTCGATCTCCTCCTTCAGTTACTCAACAGTGTAGCCCAATGTAGAAAAATGGTCTGTTAGGCTCCTTGACTATTCTAGCCTGTCGAAAGTATTTAAAATCTAGATGTCTAGAGATTTGGGCTCCTAAACTGTTGTAATAGAGACTAGGCCTAGGCTCAGCAACAAAGTGATTCACTCTTTGAGGGCTATTAACTCGGCCCTTATTACCTTGAGCACAATCCTCCCTCCGTTGTAAGTTACTATTCGTCTCCATATTCTCACCATTATTATCATCATTATATCTATTAAATCTGTGATCACTCATTCCTCCAAATCCTCTAGATCCGCCTTTGTTGCTTGAATTATTGAATTTTACTTTTCCAAATTTCTTTGAAAAATCATCTCGACTATGTTTGTCACCGGAGGTCGACTGGTTGGTACACTAGAGTATGAAGCCTCAATCCAACCCGAGCAAATAATCTCCACAACTTCATCTATTGTTTTCACATGTGGTACTCCTAGCCAATCACCAAACTCTTCTTCATCCTCCTCCTCCATATCTTCATTCATCATGACCTATAAAACCATAGTGATAGCAAAAATTGTACAGCCTTTTGTATCTGACTTTGACCCAAACTGATTTCTGCTGAGGTTGAGGAATCCAAAATCTAGGCACAAGAGGTTCATTCAAATCAATAAGGTTCATTCAAATCATGATAGTTTCTCCAACTGCATTGCGTAGTCCAATAGCATTGTCTCAATCAAAAGCTCCATCGAGAAGACTGTGGAATTGTACCCAAAAGGGACGCTTGGAAAAATTGACTTCATTGTAGATCATAAAATCACCCCATAATTGTAGATTAAGGTGACCCGGCATAGACCATAGTCTACTTCTATATACCCTTTCGAAATCTTCTTCTTTGTCAAATCCGGACACAAGCATTTTTGTCCATGTCATGGATCTGGATCTCTTTGTTAACGCCCCACCCTTTAATAATCATTGACATGACCATCCCTTTATTAAGGCATTTCTTTTCCAATCTGCCAGGTATAGAGCCAAAACATTTCTTCCCCGCGCCCCCCCCCCCCCTTTTTTTCAAGATCCAGAATTACCTTCTCGTCTTTTTTGCTTTTACTACCCTGACCCACTTCCATTCCTCCTTTCACCACAAAAGGACAAAAAGAAACACAAACACAACCAACACAAAGGTACCACGCAGGCACACCTGTGTAACACTCACGGCCACCTGTATGACACTCTATTGAAGCCTCACACCAGTCAAACTGACTAGGAAAACCACGATTGATGGCCCTAGGAGGAGACCACCGTCAATGATGAAAGAGCAGAAACATTTAAACCCTCACCAAGGAGAGAGAAGGGGAACTCTCACTAAGGAGAGAGAAATTAGTCACCAACAGGATTGGTGGATTTGGCGCCCAGCAGACTCAGTTTCAATTCATTAATAAAATATATGATCAAAGTTCAATTATCACATGGAGAACATATACTCTCCATGTCAACATGTGATCTCAAGTACTTTGTAGGCATTACAAGATTATCTAAGTAGCTTTACACGCCATTATACTGACAAATAAATCAATATAATGCTAATTTTGACAGTAAAAATTTCTAACTTTCTCCAGTAGAATAGTCCATTCCATCAATCTTCTACTAACAGTACACCTGCTTTTATTACATTCTCAGCTTTAAAATTAAAAAGAAAAACTATCATGAATTCATTGACGAGAACATTATCATAGAAGATGTTGCATAGATTTACTCACACTTAATATGATGAAAACCTTATAAAGAATAAGATTCGCATGAATATTCTATATATTTCAAAGAACTTTTTAATTTTGCAGGCAGAGCAGCAAGACGGAAGTCATGAGGAATGCATTCCTTGTTCTGTGTCTCTCGGCCCAGTCCCACGTAAATAAATGAAAGGTGTTATTTTGCTTAGGAGTATTGTGAGTGGTTGTATATGCTTGCTGTGATTTGATTATTCAACTAGGCATGGACTTGTTCTCCAAGAATGACCTGAAAAGAACAAATGCTTGGCGAGGCCTGTGAAGTGGAACCTCATGACCTGCTCCTGTAACTGTAACCAACGTAAGGCCTTTATAAATTTGGCTCCATCCTCCAACCTTCCACACAAGGGGGAAAAAAAGGCACTTAACCGAGATGCGAGATAACAGAAAATACAATACAGTTAGTGAACTATTGTATATGCACATAGTTGCTACCGTTAAAGTCAATAAATTTATCATTCATTCCAAATGGTTCAGTTATTCTAGAAAACCGATCAGCCCAAAGAACCATTGAAAACCAATTCGAACCAATCAAGAACTAGCCGCATTAGTCAAAACAAACTCCTCAAAACCAGTTTAAACTGGCTTTTCAAATAAAACAAAAACCCTATGAAGCACCTGTACTTCAAATTGGAGCTCTAGCATTTCAAATGACACATAGGTGATGTACATATTTTGTCATGCCAGTGTCCATATCATGTTGTGTTAGTAGTTAACACCAACCTTGCCATGATCATTCCAAGGATACCAGTTGATGATGGTAGGTAGCTTCAAGGCATCGATAGAATATCGAGTTGCAGTTACTGGAACTATGGCATCTGTATCTCCACTGCAAAAATGATAAATGCAGAGCTATGATCAGAAACAGTGCAAAGCTAATAAATCCTGGAAAATAAGTAACTATGCCCCCTTTTCATTTAAAAAACGAACTATCAAAGTACAAAAACAAGGCTAAACATCAGTAATGTCAGAAACCACAAATAGTTTGCGCCTTCAAGAGGAAATACGTGGATTACTACACTCTAGGTACATGTCCTAAGACTGAACCAGCAAACTTAGAAATATGAAATTACTGGGGATAAAATTTAAGATAATCGTATTGCTTTATTTTATAATGTAGTTGTAATTTTAGACTAAAGCTTTGTAATTGAGGAATCAGGGACTAGACATGAGTCATTTGAGAATGTAGGTTTTAGTTGTTTGGCTCCCAGAATATCTCAGTAACTAGAATAGGAGTCATCCCTTAATATGCTTTTCTTAGTAGTTAGTAGAATCGAAGGAGTTTGACTTTGAGTGAGGCATGTAAGGAATTTTATTTCAGGGATTTCAGTTTGGTTATTGGATGTGATTAATCTGGATGATAATATATATATATATATATATATAGTTTCCCTATGGTCTAGATCATGGAATAGCAACGTATAATTGAGGAAGAATATAATATCTAAATATCATGAGTGATATCACAGTTCGATATCAGTTGAAATCACGCTGCGTAATTAAATTGTCAATTCTGAAACCTGAAATGTGGTCAGATAAGAATATCAGCCCGTGGATCTAAATCATACATGGAAACTCACGAACAAGCCTGGGGACATTGGGATTACAATAATTTGATCAGAGACGTGCAAAAAATATCAATCCAATCAGTTATATCTCCTATGCCCTTATCTCGTCCAACATGGTGATATCAATCACAGCCCATCTAAATATGTTAATTTTCAGCCAACCTTTTCTCTCAGAGCAATTGCATATAAAAATTTTGAGCCAAGCATTTAATCCTAAAAAGCATTTTTCTTTTTGAAAAAAAGAAAAAAGAGCAAAGCAAGAAGAAAAAAGAAAAAAGAACAAAGCCTTGAAGCAGGGATAACTGAACAATCCCGCATTTTAGCCCTGAAGTTTCCAGATTGAATTTGTCCAACTTAACTAAAACATGCAATTCGAAGAACATTTAAGACCCAAGGGGTTTTGGTACGGTGCAAGCTCCTCATATATAGAAACAAGCACTCTGAAGTCTTAACTTTGCAGTGACTTGACAGGCTCAGGATCACAAGTCTTACCTTATGTAAGATGGAACCTTAGTACTAGCTGCGGGGCATCAAGTCGAAGCTCCAAACATGAATTTCAAATCATGGCACAGTACATAAATAATTAGCTATGCATGGAAACCATGGAAAAAGCACCTTTGTCTTCCTTACAGATTTAGGACATGGTGAAGACAGCTAAAGATCTAGAACAGTTACTCATACAGAACCTTCTGAAAGTTTCAATTGGAATTTGTCAGCAATCGAAAAATAATTTCCTATTAAGTTTAGACATCTGTAAATCCCATTATAAGCATCAAAGCAGCCATGTAACTGACACACTTCAGCTTCACAGGCATGTGCTGGGAGAAGAAAAGCAATGTGGGAGGCAGTGAGCAACTCACCTGTATACCCATATCCTGAGGCCAGCATGAATGAGTTCACGATATATAGGAAGCATAGATAGTGGAGAATCCGCCCAATAATTCCCAACAATGTCACTGTTAAATGAAACTTTTAACACTCTAATAGAATAACTCTCTAAAGAACAGCTCATATATTGCTTTTTAAAGCATATACCTGCATGACTTCCATGAATAACTAATCCCACTTGTATTGGCATGCAGTGCTTTCTGAACTTCTGGACGATTGAAGTATAAATCTGCAAATCTTTCTGTGCAGGGATCGTATGCTCGAGACATCCATGGCTGAGCTTGGAAGTCACAGGTTTAAAAAATACACAAAATCAACCAAATATCCTGACAAGGGGTGACCAAAATATATCTAGTAACAAAATTGACCTAAGAATATTAACCCCAAGGGAGGAATGCTTGTATACCCACAACAAATAAATGGTCATATAATTTAGATAAATTCTCTTTGGTTAGAAATGATCCTAAATTAGAAATTAAGAAACACTCAACAAATTCATTCAACAGGCTTTGACTACCGAAACATAAAACAAATCAGCTAAGTCAGAGTTACAAAACAGAGCAGAACATTTCAGAAGTCACATCGCTGAAAGAGCTCTTCCTTACAGATTTTTTTTCTTTTAATTAAAATTTTGTTGGGACGTGTATATTTGAGGCAACCACAATACTGAGTTCCTCCTCTAAAACTGCCACAAATCATCTCTGATATCATAAACTAAGTAGAATATTGATAGAAAGAGACAGGCATACAAAGAAAAGGCAACATGAGGAAGCTGCTGCTTAATCAATGCTTGAATCAACTTGTTAACAAGTTAAGGAAAAATGACAATATAATTGAAAATAAACTTAAGCAGACATGTTTTTTTCTAAAGAAAACAAAAAGTATACTTTCCTGTTAACATCAGGATGGGACACCAATAAAATGTGTGGTTTAGGAAAACCAATATGCCATTATTTAATCAAGAATGTTGAGAAGGTTCTCCTAGGTGTAGCCTCCTCCAAAAACTACGAACACCTCTGAGAATTCCCGCAAACTATAACTAAAACACCTATCTCAATATTCCATAGTAGTTACCCATTAATTTTTAGTTTCAAAGCTTCCAGTACTTCCAGCAGAGAGAAACTATTTTAGCAACCAAAAGTCACCACGAGGGAAGGTTCGTTGATAGAAACTTCTCAAGCAGTACAACAGGAATCATATGCAGTTTCATGATTCAATTTTTCATGTAATATACTCCATTATGATCTACATCTACCCAGGTGTCTAAAACCTTGCATCTAAATGTACTTTGCATGCTTATGCATAAATGAAACAAGTTGATAAAAGGGCATACGTAGCGACCCCTCAAGCCATGTCTAAGTGATGATGTGTTATTGCATGGCCGCGTATAAATGCTATATGGATCAATGTTCCCCTGTTCCAAAACTGCTACTCTGAGGGCCTGCATGCATTGCACTGTTGGATGCAGGGAGGATCCAGAAGTACAGGCAATTCGCAGCATCCTATATGTGGAATCTGAAATCAAGCCATGAGTCCACCAGTACTCAAATGTACCAATATAATCATGGTAATCATCAGTTACAGCATTTCCAACCTGATAGAGATCAGGGAAAGATGGCAACCATTAAATGATTATTGAAAAGCATAAAGGCCTCTCAATGAGCACAAAAGATTCTCTTTTTCCCCTAGATAAAGATGTGCCATTGTCAAATGGATCTTACAAACTCACCATAAATCCCTTAAAATTAATAACCGGATTCTTGATACCCTTGTTTTTCTGGTAAATAATGTGAGCCAACTGAGGAACATAGTGACCTGAAACGAGTTTTCAAAATCAGATCATCATCTTCTTCACATAAAAGAATTGAATGAGAAATTCTTGAACTAGTACCAGCATAACTTTCTCCAGCAATGTAGAGTTCTCTATGTCTATATTGAGGAAATCTTTCAAACCAATTAACTAGAAATGTATACGCATCTTCAGCTGCAAACCCAGATCCCAAAATTTCATACTCGTGAGCAATTATATCTCAAGCAGATAGAAGACAATTGTAACATTTGCTACTCCTAAAAAAAATGCTACAACATATTTACCTGTTCTGCGGTCTCCCATTGTAAACAGATCTGACGTTTTGTTTGTATATGAAAAGCCAACACCAGCGGGAGAATCAAGGAACAGTATATTTGCCACTGCAACACCCAAAAATTCAATAAACACGACGATGCGTTACAGGGGGGAAATATTGACAATGGGAAACTGCTGGTGCCGCGAATTTCACTGACATTTGTTCCAAGCGTAGGGATTCAGGTAAAGTGATCTCCCATCAGGCCTAATGCGAAAAGGTCCTATCTCTTCAGATGCCCCATAAGCGATAGAGGAGCATCCAGGACCACCATTAAGCCATAGCACTAATGGCCTTGACTTGGGTCCACGACTCGCCGGTGCTTCAGTCAACCAATAAAACAACGCCCTCCCTGATTCCTCATTCACTGTCACATAGCCCGAGTACTGAGCAAAACCCACATTCTTTGGTTGTCCCGGCAACTCTGTGATCCTATCCCTCTTTTGATCTCCAATAGGAGAAGCCAAACAAATTCCCAAAAAAATGAATAAATGCAAACATAAATAGAGCTGAGAAGGAAAACTCATAATTTATCAATGTTAAAGTAGCAAAAGGCAAGGAAAACCCAGAATGAGAGACCACAAACAGGTTTTGGGTTTTCTAGCCTTCTTACTGCCAGCTTACTCCAAAACCATAAAAGAAAGCAGAGAACAGGAGTGAAGCACAGATCCCAAGAACAAAAACGATCTGGATTGTAATGCCAGAGATTAAAAGCGAGTGTGAGAGCTAGCAAATCGACCCTAGGGAAGAGCAGGAACCAAGACCAAAGAAAGAGAGACAATGAGACTTGGTAAAACTAAACCAACAGGAGAATATGAGAGACCAAAGAAAGAGACAGGGTGTGAGAGTGCGAGACACTGAAGCAAAGGAAGGTTGAAAGGGATTGGCATTCATAAGAGGCAGTCCTAATTCCCATTTCTAATGATTGTAATTAGTTAAAATGAGTTCTAACAGTTCAAGTCCAGGCATTTATAGGCATTTACTCAAAAGCTTGCTTTGAATATTCTCGGGACTTACGTCGTTTGGTTTCTCTTCCATATGCTCCGATCCCTATCGCGCAGACTGATTGACCAGTCCGGGTGCGCACATGGAACTGTAGAAGTGGATGGATTCTTTCTAAGCACGATTTTTCTTCATTTTTTTAACTGATTTTTTGGACCAAATTTTGACTATTTGATTAATTTAGATATTTTTAACTAAAAATAAATTACTCTCTCGACTAAAAAATATAAATTATTTTTTAAAAAGTTAAATATTTAAAAATATAAATTATTTTTAATATTTTGAGGTCTAATCATTATTTTTTTAAAGTACTTATATTAATTAATTATTTTATATTTATTGTAGAGTGTTAATATGAGTAAATATGTAAAGATATAATTAATTTGAAAGTAGATAATTATTTTATTGAAAGTGAGATTCAATTAAAAATGTCTTATATTTTTTAATGAATAAAGTATAACTTTTGATAATTAAAATGATTGTTTATGAAAAAAAATGGGAGAACATTAAAAATGATTGCATCTTAATGTTCAATCTTCCATACTTGTGAATATTTGAAGAAAGCAATATCGGAGAAATACGAAAATATAAAAAGTTTGACAACTTTTTTCTTGATTCTATAAATATCCGATTAATTGTTGAAGCTGTTATTTTGTCAATAATAAAATATTCTGAATGCCAACAATGAATGAGTGAGAAAATTTGAAATGGCCTTTGATTGAAAATGTGGCAACTGTACAGTACAGATAGAAAAGTAGGCAAGGTTGTTTAGTGAGTACTCTATGAGGCATTAAAAATAAAAAAAATTTAAAATCAACAATCATGGCCGCCGGGGATCATGCAGGAAGTATTGTTTAGTTTGGTGATGAATTTAACTTTGTTTGCATGAGGTCGTGTTTGGAAAGGAAACATCGGCTTCCCTGGGGACAGATGAGTGAATAAAAGTCTACAAAAAGACGAAAATGCCACAACCTAGTCGCCCCCTTCGTTGCTACTATTTACGGGCTCTGGTAGATGGTCTCTGCAAATTAGGACCCCTTTTTGCCACTTGCATCCTTGGAGAAGAAACTTTTGCAAGAGCTTATGAAACAAAGCTCGTCATTGTTGAACTTCTTTGTGATTAAATGTTATGAATTTCTTGCTGCCATCTTTTGGCAGTGATAGAAAGTGGGGAAGATAACTGATAAAAATTGAGTTTAGTTGAAAAAATTAGTTTTTCATATCTTGACAGATTAAAGTTTGAATCTTCAATAAAAAAAATCAAAAAAAACTTACATTTAATAGTTGATTATATTTTGTACATGATTGTGTCTCATAAAAAATTCTTTTCCTCTGATTTTATTTGTAAAAAAAAATTTCAAAAATATTGTTTAAAAATATATGACACTTTATAATATTTAAATAATGTTTTTCAATTCTAATCATTCTTAATTAGTATGAGAATATTTAATATAGTTATATTTTTATTTAAAATTAATGTTAAAAATAAAGGTATGTCTCGTTTTTTTTAAGATATTAAATAAAAAATTATTTTTTTTAATATCTTACAATAAGAACCTAATGAAGTATTCATGAGCAATCAATCAAAAAATAGGAAAAGATATTATGGGCTCCCGGTAGTTTTTACTCATACTGACATGTCATCACTTCAAAAGGTTAAAACGACATGGTAGGGCACTAGATGATGTACCATCGTACTCGTGCCAGAAATGGGGCTGATGATGATAAGGACAATAATGAGTTTGCCAACTTGCATCTTCTCTTTTCGGTGCATCTATATTAATTACTATTATGCTTTTTCTTTCTTCTCTATGTCCAGTGTCGGTACGCAAAAGACAAATGTCCCGGCCATTTATTTCCTAATAACTACTTCATTATTGTTGTCTCCCTGTTTATCATTGCTCTAATGTTGCGGAGCTCCTTTCCCACACGCACCACCCGGCCACACCGGTTGTTAATTACTTGCTCTTCTTCAAAATATAAATGTTTTTTTAATTACCTTTCATATTTATTAATCTAAATTTTTATTTAATGTTATTTCTCACACATCATAAAATATATTGATAATTTGAACCAAAAATAAAAAGAGAAAGGAATATATATTTTTATAAGAATAAAAAATTTATTAATTTGCAATTTGTTTTAAAAAACATTGCTTATATTTTAAATTGAACAGAATATTTCTATTACTCTATTCAATCCGAATCATAAGTCTTTTGATGTTTAAATACAAAAAAAAATTTAAGAAATACAATTAATACATTACTATTTTAATTATGTAATTAAACTTGCTCCAGACGAATGCGTTAAATAAATTAAAGTTATTGAAATAAATAAGCTATGATAAAAAAAATATTAATAAATATTGTTTTCTCTCACCAAGACTTGTATTTTGAAATGGAGAGAGTGCTTTTTTTTTTTTTTTGGCCAACAAGAGAACACTAGTTATTAGTTATGCAATCCTCGCCTTTATTTTAAAATGAAATTTAAGTTTGAAAAATAATATACTTTTTAAGACAATACACACACACACACATATTTGGAGTGGCAAGAAGAACATCCACCTTAATGTAAAACCTGTGATTTGGTCATAATTAGGCAGGTAGAGAAGCGAGGCACTTGAAATTTCACATCTTACTATGCCATTATGTCTTCTTCATGAAACTGGGTGTAGAGGTTTAGGGCCTATTTGATTTCTGTTTTTATTTTTTATTTTTAAAAACTGTTTTTTAATACGGTTTTTAAAATTATTTTTAAAACAAAATAAAATGAAAATTCATTTGGTTTTGTTAATTAAAAAACAGTTTTAAAATTAAAATGGATTGATAATGATGGTTATAGACATTTAATGGTTGTGATTAATAATAAAAATTGATTAAACTAACTGTAATTTTTAATAATCAAATATATTACTCCTTTCATTAAAAAATATAAGATATTTTTAATCGATTCTCACCCTCCAATAAAATAGTTACCTACTTTCAAACTGACCCTAACTTTTTATATTTACCCCTATTAAACACTCTATAATAAATATAAAATTATTATCAATAGGGATATTTTTTTAAAAAAAGACAATAATTATACATTAAAAAACTAAAAATGTCTTAGATTTTTGAATATCTAACTTTTTAAAAAATGCTTTACATTTTTAAGCGGAGAGAGTATATTTTAAAAATAACAAAAATAAAATGAAAACAATTTAAAATTATTTGTATTTTCTTGTTTTTAAAAACAAAAAATGAAAACAGTTTTAAAAGCAACTAAATAAAAAATACTTATTCAAACAAATTTTTAAATTTTTCTGTTTTCAAAAACAAAAAATAATTTTTAAATACTTAATAACTATAAAACACAGCCTTAGAGTTGGAGAGTAGAGACCAAGACCAACACTGCAATGAACACAAGAGAAAACTTACCCTACTAGTTTCAATAGATTGGATTTTGGAACTCAACTTGCACTACGACTATCGACTATGACCAAGAAACAAGCTCCTCCGCCAACAAAAGTGAAATGGGGGCAGAAATCATCCATCTTGCGACCAAAATGGAAAACATGCTCCGTGAAAGGGGCATTCCGAGAATTGAACTCGGGACCTCTCGCACCCTAAGCGAGAATCATACCACTAGACCAAATGCCCGTGTTGGCAGGGGGTTCCAAAAAATTATTTTATTAAAAAAACGAAAATAAAACGCCTTCTCCCAATGTAATGGTCCTCTCCACGGCAAGGTTTCATTCGGCAGTGTAGAGCAATGGCAAGAGCAACTCTTCTCCACTTGCTGCGATCGCGGGCGACGCGCGCCTCTCCCAGATTCCTCCCTTCAGGTTTTCTCCATCTCTCCCTCTCCCACACACGCACACACAGACGGGTCCTTTTGTATTTTTTGGGAATGACCTAAAAAATAATGTAAATTTGCATTCCCATTTTCATCCGTGCTATGGAGAACGGGAATAGGCTTAAACCTTTGAAATCCCTTGTTCTCTACCTAGAAAAGATTCGGACATTACTCTGTGTGCCCGTCCTGGAGTCCTCTTTATGGACTTTTCATTCCTAAGACAGATAAAGGAAAGTGTTACGAACTAATGGACTGCGACTTACACTTAGTCCTTCTGGGTAAATATGGGGCAATCAGCTTTCACAAGTGGATTGCGTTGAATACCCGCCACAATGGATTTTCTTCTTAGTCTAGATAAGTATATCATAATTTAGCCTCCATCGCATGCTACTTGAATTTGTGATGAAAGAAGCAATATAGCTAGGTACAAGACTATGATGCTAGTGACAAGTAGCAATGTAGCATTACTTTGATTGTTCCATCCAATTGCTGGTGAAACCTTATGTAATGCGAGATTTTTAGATTAATAGTTTATTTTACCTTGGCTGTGACAGACTTCAATGTGCGTTAGGAGTTAAATATTTTGACTGATTCGTCTAAAACAATGTGAATACCTGTTCTTCCACTTGGGAGTAAAACTTACAATCGATCTTGATAATTAACGTGAAGACAGAACTCTACCAAGACCTACTAATTATAGTTATGGATTCCACTGCACCCCCGGGGGGGGGGGGATGCTAAACTGTATTTGGAAACTATTTTCATTTTTCAGAAAATTTAGGCTTCAAACACGTTGTTGTTTTCTCTTTCACCGAATAATAATGCTGCATTTCTCCTTTGCTACTCAGTTTGTTCTGTGAGATTTGTTATATGCCACAGATTTACAGCTCAAGTTCATTACTCCCAGTTATTGGAAGATGTTTAATCTATAAGAAAATAAAATGATATGGGTTCTACAACTCTTCCCTATTTAAATCTTTTTTGTTGCATTGCATATCTGGATTTATAGTTCCCTGCATGTGATAGCCCACGTTCTATACCTCTTCTATTGTGTATCATATGTTCTGAAAAGTTTTTGTGCATGTTCTAGTTGGTTCTTACTTGTCTTAAATTTTTGTTCTTTTTATCTGGTACCTTGAGTTGCATCGAATTTGTAGTTAAATTAGTCATTTATATTAAACGGTTGTATGTACAAGTCTTTCTGGAATATTGGCTCTGTAATGTTCACAGTCTATGTGGTTGGTCAAAAAAAAAAAAAAAAGTTCGCAGTTTATGTATGATTATTGTAAATAAATTATGTAACTTTTTATTTTATGCTTCATGTTTGTCTCCATGCTTCAGCCTGTCATTGTTCTAGCTCCTGGACATCCGGACGTGTTATCAGTGCCAATCCTGCATCCAAGTTTTCCGTTCAGCTTGCCGCTGTCCAAAAGAGATGGGCATCCCAATCCGTGACAACAGAGGAAGATGACAAGATTAGCATTGGACCTCGTAGTAGGGGACAATCTGGTGAAGATGACAAGGAAAATGGAGTTGTTTATTATGGTCCTATCTCATCCACCATAAAAAAAGTTAAACTTTTATCTCTCTCAACATGCTGCCTCTCTGTATCTCTCGGCCCTGTCATAACCTTCATGACATCCCCTGACATGAATGTCATCTTGAAGGGTGCAGTGGCATCATCTGTAATATTCCTCAGTGCTTCTACAACAGCTGCGCTTCACTGGTTTGTTAGCCCTTACATTCACAAACTCAGGTGGCAGCCTGGTTCAGATAGCTTTGAGGTGGAGATGATGTCATGGCTGGCTACTTATGTGCCCAAGACGATTAAGTTTTCTGATATCCGTCCACCTGACACCCAGAGACCTTTTGTGACATTTAAGGCTAATGGGAACTATTACTTTGTCGACACAGAGCATTGCCATAATAAGGCACTTTTGGCAAGATTGACACCACAAAAAGTACCTCAGGAGTCTGCTTTCAAAAACTTGTGATTTGAAACACACTAATATAAACCCTCAGATAGTTTGCTGTTAAGGATGGTATTGATTTCCCTGGGTCAATTTCCATCTGCGGATAAATTTTTCTGTCCCGATATTTCTGTTTTGATAGAATAAAATGTTTGAGACTTGATTTATAAAGAACTCACTTGGGTGGCATTTTGCAACATTATGTGCTCTAGTATTTTGAATTTTGATGCCATTGTAGCATTACTTTTATTTTTCAGTTTTTTTTTTCTTCTGTTGCTCAAATTTGTGCTTGTTCTTTGTGTGATTCTACACGTTATAATTAAAATGTGGAAGCCCTTTCTGTTTTAATATTGCTGTGCTACTGCTATGGACTATAATGCTGTGGCCGTGATTATTGTTGGTAGTTGTTCTGGACTACATGACATTTGCAGCCACGAGTCATTTGGGATGCATGTATTGATAAAAGAATTGATAAATTTAAATATTTCTAATGTTGTTATTAACTTGTGTAAATTTTGGAATTCTTAGTTTGACGGGGCAGGCTGACTGAGATTTTAGTAGGCCGCAGCCGTGGAACATGCGACTTCGTCGATTGTCTATGTTTACTTACCCTGATATCCATATTGACTTGCTTCTTTGTCAAAGATAATTCATGTATGAAATATCTGTGCTGTATTTCTATTATCATCATATAATGATAACTAATTCAATCACGTGCACTAAATGAGTCATAGGTTAGTATGAATGAATGGCTTAATCTATGCCTCTATCTAGGTTTGGGACATTATCGAATGATAACTGAATGCATTATGTAAATATAATGCATGTCCATACAATTGTCTTGAAGTTCTTACCGTCTCTCAAAGATGAGGTTAGAACTTGTTTCTTGTTAATGAAGAGGAGTGGAAGGTCAGCATGGCATGTCAAGTGTTAAACTATTAATTAGGATCGAGTCTAAACATGTCTAATTATATTTTAGGACTCCATTTTGTACAGTCTAGCTCTCGCCCTCAACCCTTTTTTTTCATTTTTCAAATTAAAAATGTAAAAAAAATGTATTTAAAATTTTAAAAAAGTTATTATGTATAACATTAAGTCTAGAAAAAAAAATTAGATCAATCCACACAACAACAAATTTAAGTTTAATAAAAAATAACAACATCTTAAAATCAACTCTCATAACAATTAGATTTTGCTAGTATTATCAGTTAAATTTTGATAATTTTTGCTGTCATTAATATTAATATAATTTGATTATTCTTATTGTGAAGCCTCAATAGTAGCTAGGGTATTCTTTTAATGTAATGTTTATTCTTTTCATATTAAATTTTAAATATATATATATATATATATATATAAACGCTTGTCCTTTTATTTTCGAGTCAATCCTTTTAAATTTAATTTATGATTTTACATCTTAAAGTAATGGTTTAGCCTCGAATTTTTTTTACGTTTAAAAGGGTGGTCTTAATTGGTGGCTCTACGTAGAGTGGCCTAGGAAATCCAGAGGATGATGCTTTTGGTGATTATCAAACATCAATCATGCCATTTTAAGAGTTATCATGATAAACTCGTGTATTTCCTGTCAATGGGGCGTTTGATTATTGGAAAATCATGAATGAAACCACTCAGCTGTTCTTTAGAACGATGGGGTCATTCGATTCTTCCAAATCCTGAGCGTGCGGTCCATATTACTCTTGCAAAGTCTCATTTGAAGGAAAGTATAAAACTATTGCCAGTTGTTTATGAATCTTCATAGAAATAAATAAACCATGGGCGATTTACTAGGGGTGATTCCATAATAGACGGTTGTTGGGGAGTTATCATTCAAGGACTACTAAAAGTATTTAATATCAAATAAAAACTAAAAGATTATGAAATATCACTGATCATGAAACTGATTTGGAAATAATTTAAATAGAAAAGATTATAACACTTCTACTTTTTTTTTAATTGATAAATAATCATTCATTAATTAACAAATACACATTTGTATTTAATGAGATGGCATTCATTAATTAACTTGTTCAAGAATATGAAAGAGTTTGATTGTGAAAATGAACAAGTGCAATTTATGTTTCAATAAATGATTATTCATTAATTAACAAATACCTATTTGCATTTAATAAAAAACTATTTGCTAATTGATAAGTTCAAGAACTTGAAAGAGCTTGATTGTTGTGAGAAAGGACAAATGTAGATTATGTTTCAATAAGTAAACATTTGTCCATTAATAAATACTATTTGTATTTAACAAGAAACTATTTGCTAATTGATAAGTTTAAGAATCTAAATTGTAAAACAAGACAATTATAGATCATGTTTTAACAAACAGTCATTCATTAATTACAAGCACCTATTCGTGTTTAACAAGAAACTATTTATTAATTAACACATTTATTTTTTAAAAAAGAAAAGTAGGATTATTATAATCTTTTCACATTTAAAATTATTTTTAAATCAATCCGGTAATTCTGCAATAATATTTTAAAATTTTTTTATTATTGTTTGATAGTAAATTGCCATAGCAATTCTTGAATGATATTATTCGTATGAGGCTATAGAATAGACGTCACTTTTTGATCAACTTTTAAGTGAACTAACTTATTTCCAAACTGTTGATAGTTGAGTTGAATAGGAGAGATTCAATTTTAAGCAAGTTTAAAGGCTCATTTGATAACCTATTCTAGAAATAACTTTATGTTCTGAAACCAAAAAAAAAAAATTTATTAGGTAATGTGTTTTCAAAAAGTATTTTAAAGAAAAAAAAAACCAAATATTATTTTAAAGAATGGAAAAATAAAAAAACTCTTTTGGGTGTTCTAGAATGATTATTTTAAAAAAATAAAAAAAATGTGAAAAACACTTGTTTTAATTATTTTTTTTATTTTTAAAACATGTTATTTAAACACTAGTTATTAAGACAATAAAATAAAAATAATTTCAAACAAGCCCTAACTATTTGAATCTTGTGGATAAGGGGAAAAATTGGATGGAGTGCCAAGCACGATGGCCTTTTTTTTAATATTGTAGTAGAGTTGATAATTCAGGCCAAGCCCGACAGGCCAACCTAAACCCTCCCTAAAAAAGTTAAAGCGGGCATGGCTACATAAGTTTTTTTAAGAAGATAAGATATTTTTAAACTTGATCTAAATAAGTCTAGCCTGAATTGAGTGTGATTGCTGAAATTTTTAGCTCTATATGTTTATGGAGTTGGCAATTTTAGCTAAATTTGACAAGACAGCCCAAATCTACCTAAAAAAAATTAAGGCTGAATTTAATTATATGAGCTTTTTAAAGAAGGAAGGATACTTTAAGCTCTATTCGAATAAACTCAATCCAAATTAAGCTCAATTTATTTAAATTATCGGCTCTACATTTTAGTTAGACGAGGCTTATTCAGGATGAGGATGAATATTGAATTTCAATTGCATTCCCAAACCTTTGAAAGGATTCTTCAAGCAAGATACAGGGTCAGCCAAACCATAGCGTAGAGTTAGGCACTTATCTCAGATGCCATGACATGAATTTTGGTTTGTTTATTGTTTGAGAAATAGTTTCGGGAATTTCAAATTTGAAATAGAAAGGACAGTTCCAAAGCAAAAGCTGGAGACAATAACAGTGTAACTTTTCCTCTTTATCTTCAAAAATAACAAGGTAACAAGTGGATGTAGCAATTAGTACTACTTATTTGTTAATTTATCTTTTAATAGAGTTGATGAAACTTATCATTTAGCATACTACTAGTACAGTAAGGCTGTGAGGGAATGATAACATATATTGAATCTCTAAGTCGTGACCAAAAAAAAAAAATTACTGCAGCAACTGGAAAGATGAACCTTTCAAATAGGATTAATCCTGCTATCAGAGACATCAATGATCAAAGGCACAACCCAAGCCCAGGCTCAATACCAAAAAAAAAAAAACAATTTATTAGTTTTAAAACAACCATCAGCGGCCGAACACAGGACAGAAGACAACCTTGGCACCCAAGAACATGAATTAGGACACAAATATAATGGCAGCACTTAAATAGACAAGCCAGCGGCGTCCATAAAAAAATGATTGTTCAATCAAAGACACGCAAAATTGCATAAGCTGAAAGTAAACGCCAAAACAAAACCAACAAAAAGGAAAAACCTCTCCACCACTGTAGATAAAGAGCCCAGATTTGGGAACGAAGGTTGCAAGATGAGGGCGGAAACTTCAAACTACAAACAGTACACCATACACTCGAATTCCAGAAAGAGGTATTACCTGCAAGAGACCAACGTTCACTGTAACTTATTGAAAATTGTGTTTTAGGATCAATCATTATACGATGAAGATTATTATTTAATAAATTTTTCTTTTGTTATTATATTAATTACACATTCACTATGATAACTGTATCTTTAGATAAATAATAGTGACTGTCCTAAACATCCCTAGTCAATCATCTATGAGAGATTATAAATAAAAAAAGACTAGTATAATTTTAATTAATTATAGATATATAAATCAAAGTCGTAGGCACTTAAAAGGGTACAAGGAGCAAGACCGACCCGCTATGAAAAAATTGTATGGTATAACTCATAAACTTATCTCATATGTAACCATATCACTAAGCCCTTGAACTTGAGATTATCATGGATTTTTGCATGATGAAAATCCATGATGATCACTAAACCTTAATCTAGTCAAAAGTCAACTTTAATTGCGTAATCATAAAGAACGTGATTGATTTTAGTGATATTCATGCAGAGAAATATGAGTTATTTTGTGCAAGAAATTCCTCCCCTTGTGTTTTATGTGTTATGGGATTAAATGATGAACTTGTGATATATGTATTTTTGGTTGAGCGTAGTGTGTTGGACGAGTCCTATAAGATCCATTGAGTGTGGTTGAGTGGTTAGTATGGGCTATTGGCACTTGGGTGTGAGTTTGGATACCACTGTTATGAGTTTTTGTGAAAAGTAATAAAAATATGTTTGAGTATCCAACTATTTGTAAAAAATAAATTTAAGTGCGAACCTTATGCCATTAACTAGAGTTAGTAAAAAGTTTTGTGTAGATACCAAAATCACCTTAATCGGACGTCGGATGAAGATTTGAGGCGCGTAAGAAGTTCGGTTAGAAAATTCGCCATTACAACTTTTTTTTTGTCACGAGCATAAAATTTTATGTTACAGCATAATTATACTAGAATCATTTTTTGAATTTTATACTACATCATAATTATGCCAGAATCATTTTTTTCTCTTTGACCCCAATTTGATGTTATTTTATCTTATATGATGTCTATGCTTTCGTATAAATATTTTGCTCTGATTTTAGTTTATGAAATGATTTTTAACATGTTAAGTTTTAAAAATTTGGGATCCTATTTATATAAATTTTACAAACTTAGTAATTTATTTGGATTATTTTTGTGATTACCTCAAATTTTGGAGTTAATTGTGGATTAATAAGGTAAACCTTATAAATTGAAAATGTATTGAGTTTTAGGTGCAATTTGTCCATCATAAGGGCCTTAGGTGGAATTCTCCCTGAATTATTGAACTTGTGACATGGGCATTTTCCATACTTGATTCACATTAACAAAAATGTGAGATTAGAAGAAAAGTACTGGTCAATTTTTTTTTTAAAGAATAAGAGACTAGAAGAAATTTTTTTTATTAAATGTGACTATTTATTATGATGTTATAATTAAAAATCTGACACTGTTAAACCAAATGAATAATTAAGTGGGTTGATAATATAAGATTGGACACGGAGAGGTTAGGACTATATATATATATATATATATGTAACATTCTATTTTTTATTTAAGTACTTAATTTTGGAAATTAAGGATTTAAAATTAGGATTGAAATTATTTTAGAGTTTAATTAAGGAATAATTTGTATTTATGGTGACTCACTTGTTTAGGCATTTGATCAGGGATTGAATTGGGCGCAAACTCATAAAAGAGGGTCAATTAGGATCTAAGATAGGTCATTGGGATGGATTGGGCCCAAAAGTGTGAGTTTGGGCCATTTTAACATTGTCTGCTCATGAACGAGCTTTGCACATAGGGCTGGACTGCACATAGACAACGACGGAGGTGGAGGATTGTTTTAATAAGGCATCTTCATGGCATGGGTGGACAAAATTAACACTATCACGACTGCACGTGGATGAGTGTTTTAAAAATAGCCCCTGTTTGCATTTTTAGACAGAACGTGAGAGAGGAGAGGAAAAATTAGAAAGTGCTTCATCGAGGTTCAGCTAGTGCACAATTTCCTGGCGTCCTTGAGCTAGTTTTAGGTCGTGCAACCTTTCAAGGTAAGTTCCTAACCTTCCCCTCTACTGTTTCATAGTTTATTTTAGGTTCCAAGTTGATTTTCAAATTAGAGTTTTGTTTTCTTAAGGGGAAAGTAATATGAAGTTATGGTGATTTAATATGATTGTTGAGATTGTCGTTATTTAGATATTACTATGCAACTGTTGTAATTCAACTATGAATTTACTTTGTTAATGTATGAAATGTGCGTGATGATATGATGCTAGAAATGGTTGTATTGTGGTCAAGTTGTTCGCTCTCAGGTAGACTCTAGTTAGATCATGTTGACAATTTAAGAAAAGTAGGGATCTAGCCCACATTAGATTATAATTATTACGCTTATATTTGAGGAGTGTTGTCTATTCGACTAGAGTTTAGTGTAATTAATTTTGGGGACACTTGAATTACATTGCTGTCTAATGATTGTGACTAAAATGACATTTTGGACTTTAAACTGCCCTGGGAACTACGCTTGATGCATCTTTATTAAATGGTAGATTTGAGTACTATTTTTAAATGGAATCCCATCAGATTCACTTTATTTGACATTATTTTTCATCGGCATTTGTTTTTGTAACTTACTTAGTATCTAAGTTATTAAAATAGGCTTATTTTTTTTATATTTAAATATTTTTCTATCATGATAGATCCTTCGTTATCATAGTAGCTTATTTTAAAAAATATTTTATCATAAAAAAAGCTCTTTCTATCATGGTCAACTTTACAAAATAATTTTAATTTTTAATTATCATGAAAGTCTATTTTCTATCATGGTAGAGTTTTAAAAATTGCTTTTACTCTTTATTATCATGATAAACCTTTTTCTATAATGGTAAATGACTAAATGTCTAATAGTTAAGGTTTTATTATTTAATTGTATTTTCACAAAAATTTGAAGATAAATTTTTAGAGTGTTACACTATACATACATAGATAAGGTTTGGCCAGGCTTCATCCTAACTTCATATAGTAGTTCAGGTATTGAGCCACTCCGAGGTTTAGGCTGGATTTAGCCCAACCCAAAGCTAATTTTTTAAAATATGAAAACAATTTTTTAATAAAAATATACTTACAATTATTTAAAATATTTTTCTTATAAAAATAATTTTGGAATTAAAATAATGATTTTTAAAATTTTATATGCTAAAAATATCTATGATTTTTACCTAATGTAAACTTATAAAGTTAAAAAAATCAATTAATTTTTTTTAAAAATGTTATAAAAATTTAAAATTATAAAAATATCTATAATAATCATAAAAAAACAATAATAATAAATTCTAAAGAAAAAAATACTACAAAATAATGAATTTTTACATAAACTTAAACAAGAAAAATAAAAAAGTATGTATTTTTTTGAGTTGAGTAGGGCAAGGCGGGTGTTTACCTCTCGGCTTGACCAATTTGACTAGCTAGGACGAGGCCACGTTAAATGGACTATTGAGGTGCATGAACGATCCCATGAGAGATATATTGAGAGAGAATATGGAAATGATATATATGCTTGAAGTATAGTTGGCTATTCATCTAATAATCCATACTAGGCATGCATGATGTATGAGATTTGAATCCTCTTCATAGCTCTTTCAATACACCTTTTCATACCCAATTTTATCCATTCATTTAATTGTTGTTTTATTTTAACATTGGTTTGAGAGTCAATTATGATATTTACAATTGAGCCATCGCCTTTTTTTAACAATGGTTTTTTATTTAACCGACATTAAAAGGTGACGTGAAATGCAAGTATAAGTTCTTCGTTATCATTATTTAAATGCTTTTGAAAATAAGATCACAACTAAATGAATAATACTATATTTATGTTAATATTATAATTAACAATCCTACACCATTAAACCAAGTTAATAATTAAATGGAGGCTAAAATGCATAAAACTCTTATGAACTTTGAGGCAATTGTATTTGATCCTTCTCATCTTTCAATGATTGAAATTAACCCCCATAACCTTTAGTTTTCTTTTTCAAAATCCCTCCTATTAATTAATTTTTATTTTATTAATACAATTACTATCATGTGAGATTAATGCAATGCACATGGCACATAATATAGAAAAATATTTTTATTATTTTTTAACACGATTTAAGGAGGGCAAAATTGTAATTTACACTTTTAACACAAATGACGATGCTTTCTTTTCTTCTAGTTGAGTGATATTATTCTCATTGTTCCCGAGCAATACAATTTAAGAGAAAAATCATAAATTTATTTTTTTTATCAATAAAAACAGCCTTTTATATTAAACAAATGAAAAGAAAAATCTGTAAAACTTATCATTAATAAAAATTATATAAATAAAAATTTATCCTCTAATACAAGAAAACTATGATATTTTACAAGTTATTTTTAACAAAACTGATACAAATCACTAATTGTAAAAAAATATCTTATTCTAAAGCAGTACACATTCCATTTGTAACATATCAATAACATATTTTTTGTTTGAATAAGTACCAAAAACTTCATTCAAAGAAGAAAATAACAACTAAAAACAAATAAGAGCCAAAAAAAATAACCAAAGCAAATAACAAAATTTATATGACTCTTATCAATGACAACATTTAGATATTTTACTTTTTATTTGTTTAATATAAAAAGCTATTTTGATTGGCAAAGAATAATAAGATTGTAATTTTTTTCCTTAAATTATGCTGCCTAATAATAAAAATTATCATGTATGTTAAAAGTCAAAATTATAATTTTACTCCTCCTTAAATTATGTTAAAAATAATAAAAATATTTTTAATATCATATTACATTACTATGACATGGCAAGAACTGTAGTAATAAAATAACAGTTAATTAATGGTAGGGGTTTTAAAAAATATAATTAAATATTATAGAGGTTAATTTTAAATATTAAAATGTGAGAGGAGGTCACATGCAACTACATCAAATTAAATGTTATGATGCTTTTATACATTTTAGTCTTAAATGGATAGATGAAATTGGATATTAAAAAATGTACCGAGGAAGGCAACAATGAGTGATCTAAGGTCCCATTTGGGATGGTGGAATGATTTTTGAGGACCTAAATCCATCATGCATGTTCAAAAATAACTAAAATAATTTATTTGGTCTACTGTAGGAATTGTTGTATTACTAAAAATAGAAATTACGAAGAGTAATTAGGGTCGGGATCTCCTAACTCGACAATTTCTTGTGTAATTATGGCATTTCTCCCGTTGAAGCTTTCTTCGCCAAGTTCTGGTTCCTCTCTCTTTTCCCTTCACGCTTCACGCCTGGCCATCAACTTCTCTTGCCTTCAACTGGGGCCAATCACCTCGCTTCCCATACAGCTCTAAAGATCTGTGTTTTCGTGCAAATTAAAGGTACTGTAATATTGTTTAAAACAAGTTAATTATTCGCATATCTGTTTCCGGAATTTACAGACTTGACGTTAACCAATTCCACCTTCTTTTAAAAGTTTGTGTCAGGTTCCTTTTCCTTGCGTGGCTGGAGTTTGGCTTATATTTAACACCTAACTTTGAATTCAAAGAGGCAATAATCATGTGCACCACGTGTATATTGTATATGTACCACCTATCAGGAATTGCTACATGCATGTACTCAGATTACTTGCAGTCAATGCACTTCGAATTTTTCGGAACTAATGTGTATTATCGCTTGAAAAAAAAAATATGTTTGTGTATGTTGATATTAGTAACTCATTGCACGTAGAATTAAAATCATGTTCATCCCTCCCTTTTTCTAATTAACATGTTGGCCTTATACAAAGCTCTTCTTCTGTTGTCTTCCAAGATAAATGACTAGGACATGGCTAGGAAATGGGGTTGGTTTTCTGCTGTGAAGAAAGTTATCAATCCTGCTGATTCCAAGAAAGATCAGGTTGATTATATTATTTTGTAATTTCCATGTTATCTCTAGCAAGAACAAGAACTAAGTTGTTTTTTCCCTAAAATATATATTTAATTCTTTAATTTATATACGTTTTTATTTTAGTCCTTTAACTTTATAAAATGTCCTTTTAGTTCTTTAACCTTAACATTGTTAGTCTCATCTCAACAAATTTTTATATTAAAATTTTCAATATTGATAAAATATTATCAAATATTGGCATATTAAGTTTAATTTTTTTAAAATAATAATGATTGGTACACCAAAATAATCATTTAAAAATAATGATATTAAAGTTAAATAATTAAAAGAGTGCTTTATAAAAATAAGAAACTAAATTTAAATTTTATATAAAGTTAAAAAATTAAAAATATATTTTATCTTTTTTTTTTAACGTTTCTGCTCTGAAATCAGAACAGATTTTAATTCAGTACAATTGTTTTGTCTTTTAAATAAAAATCAGAAAAACCATAAGTTGAAGGCAACATGGTTTGCCGGACCCGCAGATTTGGATCCAGCTCTCTCATCACCAAAAGTAGAACCGACATTTGATGCCGCTCCTCCTCTTCCATCTATTGGCACTGAGGAAGAGATCAATGAAAATAGCAAGCAAGCTTATTTGGTGGATGATGCCACTGCAGTTGTTGCAGCAGATGCTGCTATTGCTGATGCAGAGGTTGTTCATCCAACAAGTCATCAGCCTCAGTGCTCGGTGAAGACAAAGGAAGAAATAGCAGCTATCAAAATTCAGACGGCATTTCGAGGGTATTTGGTACGAATTTGTTGTTCTATTGATTCTTGTGATTCCAGCTGCAGCGTGCATTTTCAAAAGCAGCTTCTTTTCTGTTACAGTTGACACAATCTGCCCAGCAATATAATACCACGACTTGAATTATATGCATAGGAATGTTACATTTTATCGTTTCTGGGTTTTCAGGCAAGGAGGGACTTACATGCATTGAGAGGGTTGGTGAGGTTGAAAACAATGATACAAGGGCATTCTATTCAACAGCAAGCAGCAGCCACCTTGCGATGCATGCAGACTCTTGCCAAGGTGCAATCTCAGATTCGTGAGAGGAGAATCAGAATGTCTGAGGAGAACCAGTCCCTTCAGCGGCAACTGCAGCGGAAACAAGAAAAGAATAAGCCTCAAACCACAGTAAATTTTCTTCATAATTTCTTTTTAATGTAGACTATATTTGGTGCAACTGCGAGTTAAGGAGAGAAACTTCATTGAGATGTGCAGATTTCATTTGATCAGCTAAATAAGTAGTTCTAACATTGTTGTTTATTTGTTGGTTGTGGCAGTGGCTAAAGTGATTGTTAAGCACAACGTTTGTAGTGTTAATTTTTGACAATCGGTTTATTATTCCCCTTTGACCCTCTAAATGAACTTCTCGATCGATCAAATGTAGCATGCAATTAATGGCTAAATCTCTTCACGATAAATAAAAATATGATTTGGTGATGTTTCAGGTTCTCGTATCATATATGTACATCCCCGGATGACTTGTTCCTTCTGATATTGTGGGCACGCAAATCCGGTTAATAAGAGTGCTTGTATTTTGCTGTTAAATGGAGGCCGGGAATGGATCTTATGTTATGTAATGAATAATGGTTTTTATAATTTGGACTAATTGAAGCGGCGAACGCAATGCAGGCGGGAGAAGAATGGGATGATAGCACGAAATCTAAGGAAGAGATCAAAGCGAGATTGTCGGACAGAAAAGAGGCAGCTACGAGAAGAGAGCGAGCTCGGACTTACTCATCCTTGCACCAGGTAAGAAAACAGTGGAGAACCTAAATGTAAGATATTGGGGTTCAGCATCGTATCATATATAATGTTATTATTTATTTTTTTTAATGAAAACAGCAAAAATGGAAGAAGGCTTCAAAATCTGGGAATAGGACGCTTGCGGCTAACATGAATCCAGACTGGAGTTGGAGTTGGGGGGAGCGATGGGTGGGATCACGGCCATGGGACGAGAAGGAGGTTGCATCCATGGAGAGTGAAGCAAGGCGTGGCAGCGGTTCAGTGGGTGATCACCGCCATGCCCAAAAACCAAGCCGGCCTCCCAACCCACATTCGGCAAGGCCTGCATCGAGAAACAGCGATAATGAGGAAGAGTCAAGGGCCCGACAGCACCAGCGGAGGCATAGCATCGCAGAATGGTCAATAGTGAAGGGCAAGTATTCTTCTTCAGCCTTAAAGCTATGCGGTCCCTCTACGACCAGGAGGCCCTCCTTCCCGTCGTCTGCTTCAAAAAGGCACTCGTGTCCTCCTGAGATGCAAACTTTCTTGGAAAACCAGAAAGCAAGACTAGAATTCAACTCATAACACATTGTTAGATGGCCTGTAGGTCAAGTCTTCTTTTGACAAGGGGCATGAGGAGTGAATCAGGAAATGCCCTCTTCTTAATCACTTTCTGTCCTTCCCTCCTTAACCCACCTCATCTTCTTTAACTGTTTCCTCTCCCCACTCGTGCGTACCGTTGCTATTTGTAACATTCTAATGATATGTTTGGATGGATATGAATTTGAATTTGAGTCAAATTCTTTGTTTGGGTAATTATAAATATGTAAAATTTGACTCAAATTTAAATTCAAATTTTACTTTAATCTCTTTATAATTTTAAATCTTTTTTGAACTTTTTTTATTTCGTTCATCAACTTCACGACCCTCTCAACTTCAACATTACTACCTTCAATGACCATTCATTGACACCGCAAGTGACAACTAAGATTAGATGGTTAGCACTGATTGAAACTAGACCATCGATTGTGATTGGGACAAGACCGTTGATGCTGATTGGGACCAAACAACTGATTGTGACAGGGACCAAAGGAACGAACAGCCAAGGTGGACCGAGACCAAACAACCTGTAACACCCTAATTTTTTTTAAAATAGTTAATTCAACCATGGTAGAAAGTTGTCTATCGTGATAAAAAAAAGTCAACATATTTAATATTTTTTAAATTAATTCTGTAATTTAAAATACTACCATAGTAGAAAATAATTAAACATAGCTTTATAAAATATTTTACCTTTTAAAATGACTACTGTGGTATAAAAAGTTCTACCATGGTAGAAAGAATTAAGCTAAATAAATAAATACTGCCATGATAAATAAAATTAAAATTAAACTCTTTAAATTGTCATTTTCAAAATTTAGAATCTCAAACATTTATAAAATAAAAATAAGTGTGAAAGGCCCACATAATCCCATTTAAAATTAAAAACATAATAAAAAAATATAATGGCAAAAGTAAAAAAGTTGCACGTTTCAAAATTTTATAATCTTTCCAAATAACACAAAATAATTTTTGTTACTACTCATACACATCTGTAATTATAGTTGGTTACAGCCACCCAACACAATTTATATAGAGAAAATCAATATAAATTCATCTAGCATTTGGCTTTAGTTTATGCAACACAATATCATTATAAAACTGTCTTTTCACATGCCATTTAGGCCAAAATATTATTTTCCCACCCTTATGCTCCCTATAATTACAAACTAAAGCCAACAATCATAGATAGACCAATTGGTCGAACTCAACAAACAAGCTAAAACACATGGTCCAATCATCATTTTTTTTTAACATCCAACGTCATCAAGTATCATCAATGTCTCAATAAATATAAAAATATTTATCAACAATGTATATTTACAGTCATCCCAAAACATATAACATGTAGAAACTATTTAAAGAGACATGATCACAATTATAAATCCATATATTCAATAAAGAACGAAAGCCCTGACATTGACAATAATGCATTATAAAAATTATAAATCTGAACCCAGAGAGAGGAAGCGATTCCATAACACTAAGCCTCTAGGGCTTCTCCAAATACCACACACTTAACTCTTTTCTTGAAAAATGTTAACCACATTATGAGACTTAAAAGTCTCAGTAACCAATGCCAATTTATGATAGTGTATATAAATAGTTAAATGTGTACTTGCTAAGTGGGGAAACAACAATCATATAATTTTAACAAAAATACAAGAAATATTGTAATGCATGAACAACAATCATCCTTATCTCCTTTCATTAACCTCGAGCCATAGCGCTCACTCGGTGCTAAATTACTCGACCAAAGGTAGATTAGCCCGAGCTCTTATAAGCCAACTATTGGGCCTCCAATAAGGGCACACCACATGGCACAAAAATACAACAACAAGAAGAAGTCTCCCAACACTTCCCACAATAATCAAACAAATTCATATTAATATTGTATAATTATACAATATTACAATCTTCACAATTTTTTTATTTTCAATAATATTACAACATGACATCTTACTTAGCAAAAATACTTCAAAATACATATTCACAATTTCACAATTTTTCTCAATAATCACGCAAATAACATGAAGCAACACTAATCACAAACTAAAACATGGTTACCTTGTAGCTTTGTCAATAAATTATCCTTTACAACTTCTCTTTCACTACAATTTTTACCAATAAAATAATCTACATATGACATAGCATTATAACATATTAGTTTCAACTATTGAAACCAATAAAACAACTCTAATTTTAGAGTTAGAGGATATAACTTTTACTTTCAATTTTATTATTTATATCATTTCTAAGGTTAGTATAACAAACCAAAATTCTAACCTTCTTCTAACAAATTACAAACATTAACAAGTTATAATTAGCCTCTAATTTATTTATTATTATTTTTTAGTATCACCATTTTCCTCTTTTTCATTCTATAAATTCGCACAAAAATATTCCATAAATAAAAAATTTAATCTTATGTCACAAATCATCATTGTAGCACCTTACAATCATTTTAAACCCAAATAAGCTCCTAATCATTACAAAGAAACCCTAATTTTCTCTCAACTTTATTTTCTTTAAAAAATTTTATTCACTACTACAAATAAATTTCTCCATCCCAATTACATTTATATCATTCAATAACCTAATTTCATTTATTAGAGATATTAAACAATGATAATTTCTCCAAATCATCCTTAATTTCAAAATTCCAACACCTACAATACCTACAAAAATCACTAATATTAACACTCAATTATAAACCTCAAAACCATTCCATTTCATCATATATATATAACCTTCATTAAACCAAAATAAATAATTAAATTTGAATAAACCCCACCACCATATTCATACATCCCAATTTTCTCAACTAAAATCTAGCTTTAATCCTTCAAATCAACAATTTGGACAAATCTAAACCACATAAACTATTATTCTAAGATCATTAGCCCTACTAAAAACAAATAATTAATTGAAATACTCATAAATTCAAAATATACCAAACCTTAAGTTTTTCACTGTAAAAAAAATTAAAAGTTAAAGAGACTGCTTGACTAAAAGAATATTTAAAATACTTATATAATTTTAAAAAGTTTAAAATTTCATTCAAAATATCCTATTATAGAGCATTACCTTCAAAAATCGCTCAGCCTCTCCCTCGCATAGCGTTGCTGGAATTAGAGAACAAAGAAGAAGGAGAATACGCAGGGGAAGACAAGTTGTGGGTCATAGGTGGTGAATTTATTTAAAAGTGTGGGTCCCACATCACTTTCCTTTCTTCTTCTTCTTCTTCTTCTTAAGAAATGCTTCTGCCACCGTTTCAAGTTTTTACTTTTCTTTTTTTTTTTGTAATTTATATTTCTCTTTTCTTTTCTCTCTTATTATCATTATAATTATATTATTATTATTTGTTTCTATTCCAAAACATCTTAACCTAAAATTTTATATTAAGTCATCCCTAATGATCATCTTCTAATTTATTTAATTACTTTTAAATATTCTTTTTAATTTTTATTAATTTAAATTGAGATGTTACATCACCAGTAACAACCTAGACCAAATGTCTAGAGCCAATCAAGACAGGACTGTTAAGGAAAGCAGGCATCAATCAAGACAGGATGACCTAAATGACCAGTTTAACTCGAACTAGATCATCGATGCTAATTGAGAGAGGGCTTGTTTTGATAGGGATTAGATTGCTGGTACCAATTATGATTAGATTGCTGTCGTTAACAAGGACCACCCTCCTCTACCACATGATGCTAGTTTGCTATCATCATTATCATTTGATGCCTGTTTAATGTCATCATTTCATATTGGTCTGCTACCATCGTTTAGTACTAGTTTTGCATCCAACCTGTGTCTGTTTGCTGTCACCACTCTTTAGGACCAGTCTGTGGTCACTGTCTTTGATTCATTTGCCTTCATCATCCAACACCAAACACCATTTTAACAAAGAATGTTCAAGCGTCATCATCCAAAGTCCAATCCATAGCCCTGAGACTATTGTAATTATCCTATGCTAATCCTTAGGTGTTGTTTATTGGACCACCAATGTCAACTAGGACTGGACTACCGCCTGGACTACTAATGTTGTCTAGATTTAGATGGCTAGAGTTGACCAAGATCGAGTTGCCACCCTTGATCAGGACTGGACCACAAATTTTGACTAGGGTTAGACCGCTAACATTGTCCGAGTTACCTTTAAATTTAAATCTAGAATTTGAAATTTGAAATTTTATTTAAAATCCAAACAAAATATTTTAATATTATAATTTAAAATTTTTTATATTATCTAAATAAAGGATTTAAAATTTATGAACTTCAAATGTGAGATTTCAAATCAAAATTTTCAACTTAAATTCATCCATCCAAATGCAACCTAATTTCATTTGAAGATGATTCTAGCTTTGCTTTTTTTTTTTTTATTGCTAAAATATAAATGCCTTTTACAACAATGACAATAAAGTCTCAAAGGAAGCAATTTATTCAAGATAAATATCAAGAGATTAAAAACCTCACATAAGTTCTATAGTCCTTCAGTGATCAAAACTAACAAGAAAAAAAAAACTCAATTACCCTTCTAAAAAAAATTCTAATTGTGCACCACTATTATCATGTTCTCTCGAAAAATTATGCTCCAAAACCTAAATATGTCCCTTCTAAAAATACCTTATCCCTTATCTCTTACATCTCCTCCTCTGTCATCCCAGTGGGTGGATGCAGCCACCTATTCCACCATTTGTTGTGCACTACTTAGGGCTGTCAGGGCTTCAATCCTCTAAATCGATGAAATGGAGGGGCTCTTCAGTGATTTATTTGTTCTATAAAAGAAATAGTAGCACTTGGCCTGATCTCAATGCCCTGAATCAAAGACCAATACTAGAAAAGAGAAGTTACTCATTTTGGATTTACAATTTGAAGAGATGCACTTTCTGATGTGTAGCATGCATTGTAAATAAAAAAAGGGAATGCTTAGTTGCAAATAAAAAATGGAAAAGCTATTTGTGAATTAAAAATTATAACTTTACTTGCAAACTAAAGAGCTTTTAGCTGCAAATAAAGGAGTAACTGTTGTAAATTTTTAGGATTGGCCAAGTCAATTTTGCATCTTTAACTTTGATGTTAAAATTTTTATTCTAAGTTAAAAATAGGAACTTTACTTTCAAACTATAGAACCTTTTAGTTTCAAATTAAAAGGAGTAACTATTTCAATGGACTAAATCATTTCTCATGAATTTCTGTT